TGGAAAGGGTGGGGGAACTGTGCTCTCTCATCCAAACACTCTTGTTTCTGCTGCAGAAAAACATGTTTAAGTAGAACAAATTGCCCAATTTCTCTTGCCTTACAATCACTTAATCACCCAAAACAGCTCAGTAATAATGAGGAACACAAGCCGCCCATAAATAGAGACAGGATACAGCTAGAGGCTTGGTGAATGTGTGTACAATGTACACAGTTAGTGCGCACGCAATCTACATGGGTAGTGTGTGCATATACAATGTGAAAGCCTGTGCAGGTTGCTCATATGTACAAATGTGTGTGAGTGAAAATAGTATGTGAGCATATGAAGATTGCATGGTGTCTGTAAACCATGTAAATCTACAGCACAGGTAGGCAACCTTCATGTTGTAGACAGCATTTCCCCCTGATGCTGTAAGAGCATTATGGGGAAAATAATTCACAACATCTGGAAGTTGCCCACCCCTGGTTTAGAGTCCTCACAGGTACTCCTTGTGTTTGTGTGTAAGAGTATACAATGTGTGTGTTAATGTATGTATGCAGTGTCATACATACATACTGGATTTAACTACCCCAGGCTTTGATATCTCCTCCTCAGTAAGCTCACCTAGTTATATTGTTGCTCCCTATCCCTTTCTTCTTTACCCAATATCTCCTACCAACCAAGTCCATCTTTTCTGACTCTAGCTTTTTGGTACATGATTTTCTCGGACAAAGTTATCTCCCATTCCAGAATGTAATGATTTATAACGAATGTAAAGTGTTGCGGAACACTTAAATATTAAAATGTTATGTCGCATTTTTATGAAGTCTGTGCACTGATGACATCACATTGCCCTGTGTCCAATTACTACCCAACTTAGTGTATGTATACTTATAGCTACCCCGGTTTCATTGCCGTGTTCCTCAAGATTGGATCTTTAATGTTAATTTTTATTCCTGTTTACTGACCTAAGCTTGTTTTTCTATTTTCGTTCTGTTTTCCTGACCTTGTACCTCTGTTATCCATGACATTGGCCTGCTTACGTTTACTGTGTCTGCTTGCAAACGTACTGTTATACTTACTCTGTGCTAGCCCAGCTACTCTAATGTTTGGTACGTACGTCTGTCCTGTCCTACGTTTGTGAGTTAGGGTTAGCTTACATGTATGTTTGCACTTCTATCAACAATTATGTTCTTATTTTATCAAGATTACTTCTCTATATTCACTGTACAAGACAGTCAGTCAAACAGGCTGCCCATTCCCAATAATCGTCCCATTTACTCCAAGAAAGCAGGAATCTGTCAAATGCCCAGATAATTTGCTCAGTCACAGCAATAGTCTACTCTTTAGCCACTCCTCCTGAAAATCTGCACCTTCATCCATCTTTTATCTAAAGACTCTGACTATTTACACCAGGGGCGCCCAAAAGGTAGATCCCCAGGTATTTTAAACCTCCAACTTTCAAGATGCCTTATAGTTCTAGAGACACCAAAGCATCATGGGAGTTGTAGTTCGATAACATCTGGGTTTCTACCTTTTGGGCACCCCTGATTTAAACAGTCTGTCCTATAAAGTAGTCTGCCTATTAGCCAATAATTTATACATTCACCCTCAGATACAATAAAAGAACTTGCCCCTGAGAATTTGCTGAGAGACTGCTTTGGTAGCCCTGAGTTTGTCAGTAATGTCTTTGTATTAGTTGTGTATGTTCAGTGATGACTCTGAAAGAATCCTAAAGATTTCAATTTCAGCAAGTTACTGAGCCGGAAAAGTAATGAAAATATTTTAGCTTACAACTTAACAAGTCCCCCACCTGTCTTGTAATCTCCTTTGTGCATATGTTTGTTCTCAGAGTGCATGCCACTATGTGTTAGACATGTGCAATTTTTTTTCGCTCCGAATGTAAATTCGGACGAATTTCGGCAATTTGGACATTCGTATGCTTCCAAACGTCCGAATTTCCGAAGTGCCGAATTTCTGAAGTGCTGAACCGAACCGCCGAAGTGCTGAATTTTCAGAAGTGCCAAACCAAATTGCCGAAGTTCGGAAGTGCTTCGGATTTCTGAAAAGCGGCAAAACAAGAGGGGGGGGGGGAATTACGTGAATGATTGAACGACCAATGACCAATAAGCTAATTCCTGGCACTGGGAGCCCTAAAGATGTGTAAGTGGTTGTGGTGGCAGTCTGGGCACCTAACTCTACCCTTAACCCTAGCCCTACCCCTAGATGTGCAAGTGGTTGTGGTGGTTAGGGTTCGGATAGGGAAATTGCCGAAGTCCCGAATTTCTCAAGTGCAGAAAACCCAAATTTCGGAAGTGCTGATCCGAAGTGCCAAATTGCAGAACCGAGATCTTGTTTTAGCACAGTACTACTAGATAATAAATATGTTTAAATGTGTTTATATGGCATGTGCTCCATGACAGCGGTGTAGCTAGGTTAAAGAAATACTGGGGGTTTGAGCAGTAAGTCAAATTTGATGTCTGACCTACAGGTGACATCTCCCTATCCCCTGTCCAATTTCCTCTGCCTAACAAAGTGTCATTGATGTACGTATCCTACACGCGCTCTCCTCATATTATTTTGCCTTCTAAACCTCTTGTTCATGTTTTTTATCTCTCTGTTTACTCAGTCTCCTTTCTGTTGCTATCCTCTCTTCCTTTTTTTATTTCAAAATGTTCTCTGTCATTTACTTTATTCACTCTCCCACTTTATCTGAATGCTCTCATATCTCAACCATCTTGTTCCCTCATATTAATATTGCACCCACTATATCTCTGCATATTGATTGTCCATTTTGCCAAATGTTATACACTCCCTATTTAAAATCTCTACCCAACCTTGCCCTCCAGCTTTTTCACGCCGTCAGTTTCATTTACAAAATCTTATTGCTCTCAAATATTGTATGAACACCACCTTTATACCACAATGTGCAAAGTGCGACAGAACATAGAAGATGAAACTTGGAAATATACAGCTTCCCAGGGGACCTTCCCAGATGGCAACCCCCTTTTCCACAGCAAATGTGTATATAACATTTGAGATACAGCTGTGTAGCTAAAAAGGAATTTGCAACACATAGTGAAATATTGTTACGTATATATGAAATAGCTCTACAATTGTTGTACTCACAGAGAAGACGAATTTGGAAAGCGTTAGGCTGCCTCCTTCAATGAAGAATGGGGACCAGAACCATCTTGACCCTTCTTTACGCCAGAGCAGGGTGAAATCTCAAGGATCCAGGTTGGAATGAAAAAAAGTGAAAAAGATGTAATCCTCAATAAAGAAGATCTAATTAGAGAAACCTTAAATTAACGTATAAAATGTACTATATAAAAAGTGCTAAAAATAAATAGTGAAATAACACCCATGTAAATCCAAATATAAATAAATACAAATTAATTCAATGTACACGTCAGTATATGGTGAGAGCCTTCATATTAAAAATAGAAAATACTGGGATAATCGTTTATTAAAAGATATGTGTGAATGGCAACTCAACTAAACTGTTACTTATACAGGAGATACAGTTTAGATCCCCATATATTTCATACATAAACGAATTGTTAACTTCAGCGCTCCCCTCCTGCCGGTAACAATGCACACCTCGCACACAAGCCTGGGGGCAGCCAACAGACAGTGCTCCACAGCCGTGTTCAGCCTGGGGAACAGAGGCTCCGTCTCCTGGAGCACAGCTGTGTGGAGATTGTGCTGCAAATCAGTGAGTGGTCCCTACGGGCATGTTGGGCCCTAACAGGGAAGATGGGAGCCCTAATGATATAACTGGGAGGGAGTGCACAATGAAGACTCAACCACGAGGGGGGGAAGGGGGACATCCTAGGGGCAGGGAATACCTGGAATAGAGAGGGGACAGGATGGCATACCAGGGATTGGGGACATCTTAGGTGTAGAGGGTATCTGAAATAAGGAGGGAGAGCATTCTACGAGTAGGGGGTATTTGAAATAGAGAGGGGGCAGGGTGGCATTTTAGTGATAAGTTGACATATCATGATCCTAGGAGTAGGGGGTATCTGAATTTGGAGGATTGGTGTATTCCAGGGATAGGGAGGCATCCTAGTGGTAGGGGGGTATCTGAAATAGGGAAATGGCAAGGTGGCATTTCAGGTATAAGAGACAGGTGGCCATCCTAAGAGTAGATGGTATCTGAAATAGGGAGGGGGCATCCTAGGAGTAAGGGGGTATCTGGAATAGGGAGGGGTGGCGTGTCATTCCAGGGATAGGGGGACTTCATGATCCTAGGGGGAGGAGTATCTGAAATAGGTGTTCAGGTGCAATCCAGGGATAGGAGGGAGGGGTTCATCCTATGGGTAGAGGGTTTTCTGAAATAAGGAAAGGGCAAGGTGGCATTCCAAGGGTAGGGAGCAGGAGGGGCACCTTAGGGGTAGGGGGTATTTCAGTGATAGTGATAAGGGGCATCCTAGGCGTGGGGATATGAATCACATTATATTCCTGCTCCCTGTATTATTCACAGAGCGACTGGAGTGGTGTGCATTGTGAAGGGGGGATGCAGCAAACTCAGGAACCACCCTGGGTGGCAAAAGCTCTAGCTACGCCACTGTCTTTACTATTCTTTTAACCCCTTAAGGACACAACTTCTGGAATTAAAGGGAATCATGACGGAATATTTCCATCATGTGTCCTTAAGGGATTAAAGGGACCCTGTAGGCATCCAGACCACTTCAGCTAATTGATTGATTGAGTCAAAGAAAGCATTAGAGCCTGCTCTAATCGGCGCTGGGATCAGGTTAGTAAATAATGGGGTTTTAACCCTTTATTCACTGGGGAGGAAGGCACGCGGGGAGGGGGGAGCAATACTGCTAGGAATTGACAAAGCACTAAAAACCACTTAGTTGGGATACCCCTAATACAAGAAAAATACACACCCAATACCTTGGAGTATACCAGGTTTTGTAGATCGACATATTTAAACATGTGTTGATATTCATACTGGGGTTTTCTCCATTTGTAGAGTATTATTTTAAGTGCAAAATAAAACACACAGGTATATGAGATATGGTTTATTAATTTGGATGTTTTATTTGTTACTTGAAACAAATTGCAACACTTCATCTAAGATACTTGTATTATTTCTTTTTAATGGGCAATTCATTTTCATGTGATCGGCACAGCTCATATAGCCGACAGGAACATGAAGTCACGAATGGAATGCAGGGAAGCTGGCGGTGGAACGCAAGTGGAAGCATTCATGGCGTCCACATCCAGAAATTAGGTAGAGCGGCTGCAAGGAGGGGAATCCTCATATTCGGAGAACGTTGGTTAATGGGACACATGAAGGAACCTATCATGGATCAACTGGGAGACACACCTGACAAGCCACCAATGAATGATAGGGATTAGGCCTACATAAGTGGTATCAGTGGGGGAGGTTATTAGGCTGTATGTTTTATGATTTACTGCATGTTGATTGTTTTTATTTATGGTCCCAAAGGAAGTCCACCTAGGTGGGAAAAAACACGTTGGACCCAATTTTATTCATTTCATTGTCTTTGAATTTGTTTACATTAAACCTTTTTGAATACCAACCTGGATCTTTGAGATTTTATCCTACTCTGGCACCCAATTCTATCACGGGGGGAGGCACCCTAACTCGTCTTCTCTGTAAGTGCAACAATTATAGCGCTATTATATATATAAATGTAACACTATTTCACTATCTGTTACTAATTCCTTTATAGATACACACCTGTATCCCAACTTTCATATGCGCCAGAATATTGACATGTTCTCTTTTCCCACCTCTTTAATTTCTCTTCCACATTATTTAATTGCTTATCAGTTACTTAATTGATTATCAAACCTCTTTCCTACTGTTTCTCACCTCTGTTCTATAATCTCTGAACAACTAGAGATGTCTTCTGACAAGGTTCCCCTAAAATATTTTTTATCCCCTCTGCTTCAGAACACCAAGAATGAGAGAATTTAGAAATCTTTATATCAGTAAAATAATGGTCCTTGGTTCAGATTTGTGGACGGTACACAACAATGTATTGCAGATTACAAACAGTACTCTCAAGTCTATTTTGATATCCAATATTTCTGCACCCTATTGCAACAAAGCACATATTTTGGAGGCATAGGGAAAAGAGGGCACCAAATCTTTTCATTGCCTGCTCACTTCTGTACTTCCACAAAAGTCGTCAAAACAAAAAACTAAGTAAGTCCAATTAATCAAGTCTTCAAGGTCTTCAAAAACATATATAGTTTCTCTTGCTACAAACTGCGTGATGTGCACATTTACAAGTCTTTACTAAAACAATAATGTGTTTGAGCAGAAATTAATGAAATCTTGAAAATTTTTCACATTGTAACTGTGCACATCAAATAAACCTCTGGCATAAAGATAACATTTTGTAAAAAATTTAAGAACCATTTTCATCATGAGTACAAGTTGAATGTCTGAAATTGGTAGGAGACTCAAGTGATCTTCGTAGCAGAAGAAAACCAAATAAACCACATCCAAGACGCTTCCTCCAATTCGTCTTTCCCTTTGGTCACTGCTCTGGTCAGCATTTTGCGTGAAATAACAGCACATTGTATGGTTCCATGTCTTTGTTCACGAGGTGGGGGGAAGGCGAAAACAAGCATCCCCTGAGTCCTCTGACTCCACTTCAAGTGAATGTCAATTTACAGCCCCAGTAAAGTCATGTGTGGGGTGACAGGGATGTGCAGGGATCTCAGTCACACCCCAGAGGTAAAAACAAACACATTTATTATGAACAGGTCTCTTTGTCACCCACGGGTGCTGCTGCTTCTCTCGCCCAGTAGCCAGTATGTCCTCACCTTTCCTTTACCCTTTAGGACAATAAGTGATGGTACAAGGGTCAGATTAATGTAACATGTTTACATTAAGCAAGCACAAGTTACATATAACGCAAGCATTACCTTCATCTCCACATCCCCCCTCAGTTCTAGCTCAAAGCAATTCAACTCCTCCAGGACATTTCTCGTGGCCGTAGAAACGTGGATCTTAAGAGCTGGAATACAGAAAGATGAGTTTGGCTAGTATAGCTGCAGGAGCCTGGAGATTACACTGATACACTTTAAGTGGCTAGAAATCACCAGAGGATACATGCCATGTTCTGTTAGGACTACCAAAGTATAATGGAACAAAGCCAGATAATGCTACAAGTGCATCGTCCACAGACACAACTGATATGAACACTACACAGCAAGCATGCTGACAACATGAAGACTGAAAGTATGTTGGAAGTCAGACAGTGCTCGGCCAACAACCCATACAAACACAACCAGAAGATCTAAGATTGTAAGCACTCTCATAGCACAAGGATTGAGAGCATTCTGCAAAAGAGCCAGTAAAATCCATAGTCACAACCAGTACCATTAGTACTCCACCTGTCTAGAGGGACAGTCAGGTATAAAGATCCCCAGTACAGTGACACTCAACATCAAGGGATACTCATGGCAATCACATACAGCATTTGGCACCTCTACAGATACCTAGGAAAGCCACACACCACGTGGCACCTCTAGAGACAAACTTTATGTGACACCTGTAACTGCCAAATACATCATGTGACAGATAAACGTGGCCAAAATTAACACATGGCAGCTCAAGATACCTCCAGTATTTGGCCTGTCTAGAGATATACACCTAATTACCTTCTCCGTTAGATTCCATGCGCGATGCTGTATTCACTGTGTCTCCAAACAGGCAATATCGAGGCATTTTTAGTCCCACTACCCCAGCACAGACAGGACCTAGCAAAAAGAAGAGTCTTTAGTGAGTCTGTGAGCTTCCATGGTGGCAAAGAAAATAAGCCTGCCGCATGCAATCTACAGCGGTCTATGAGAATGAGCAATGCATGTGTTTAACAGGTAAAACAAAGTACAGTGACTTATCCTTTCCAGCTTTAACCTGGAAGGTAGACTACAAGATCTTCAGAATGAAAATGTCATAGAAAACAATGTCGTCATTGTGACAACACCTTAAAAACGTGAGAGCTGTCCCGTTTAAGGAGCACTCTCCACCCTCTCACCTGTGTGAAGTCCAATGCGAAGTCGAAGCTGCTGGTCAGGCCGGTGACGGATTTTGAAGGTTTTCACAGCATCTAGGAGAGCAAGGGACATGCGTGCAATCTCACGAGCATGAAGCTTACCATTACGAACCGGGAGACCAGACACCACCATATATGCATCGCCTATAGTTTCCACCTTGGGGAGTGGAGGAGAAAGAACGAGACCCGAGATAAAGAGAGATTAGAAACAGAGTGTATCTATAGGAATTCTGGAATAAGCCACCTTTAATAATAATTGTTATTAATGATATTATTAACAATAATGATCATTTACAATCACGTACTACCACAAATTAAAATAGCAATCTAGGTACCAAAAACACTAAAAAGCTGATGTAGTGGTTAGGGTGCTGCTAGACTGCAGATGCTGTTCCCTGGTTCTTGGTAAAAACATCTGAGAATTTTACCTAAACTTTGGTCTCGAGGCTGGAATTGTTGAAGAAGTTCCACTTCATCAGTTTCATCCATATGGTAATGCTACTCATTGCCTAAGTGAATCAACAGACATTCTCAACTAATGAATGGGATTAAAATAAGGATCACATTGATTTTGGTCAAGCAGAAGTGGAACTTCCACATTAGCAATTACATGTTTGAAATTGCTTTAACCAAGAACCAAGGGAAAGCACACACGGCCTAATGGCTGCAAAACTACTACACTGACATGTACCGAATATGGTGCTCAGAATGCTCCTCTAGGAAATAGAGGAAATGGGAGAAGAGTCCCAAGGTGATGAAATGTGACTCACCTTGTACACATCAAAGTTGTCTATTATTGCATCAAAGCAGGTGTAGAGATCATTCAATAAAGTTACTACCTATAAAATGGAAAAATTACAAAAATAAAATAGATACATACACACACAAAACTAAACAATTAAAGTGCACTCACTGGACTTAATTACTTATTTTCAATTGCTTGCAGTAATGCCTTTATTTATCCATGGCAGTAATAAACGCAGTAGACTACTGTGCTTTTTACTGCCATGGATAAATAAAGGCAGGACTACAAGTAATTGCAAATAAGTCCAGCGAGTGCACTTTTATTTTTTATTTTGTATCTGACGGAAGTTGCACCATGGCCAACAATATACTGAGATGTCGACTGCAGAGTCCTTCTCGATTGTATATATATCATTTTTAGTTATTCAGAATTTTTTTTACACTAACACATTTGTTGCCATTACATACACACAGCACAATGTGCTATATTATTCACACATGCAGTTTATCACAGACTGCACACTGAATCCTGAATCTCACTAAAGAACGATGAACAGTACAGTGTGTCACAGACCCAACACTGAGCCCAGCAGCTCTCCATAGGCTCAACAAAGACACATTATCTTCATAACACATTCACATTGGACACAATAGCTCTCCACAGGTATTGCACGTAATGTGGTACGATTCAAATTATGAGGATACAAGATGTGATAGCTAATTAGTTTTACCTGCATCGGGGTGCTCTCTGCAGACAGTGCTGTGAACCCCACAATGTCGCTGAAATAAATGGTGACACTGTCAAAGGCTTCTGCCTGAACTGTTTCTCCTCTCTTCAGCTGCTCAGCCACGGAGCTGTGGGTCAGGAGAGACAGCAAATTCATACATTGACAGGGTGGAAAGGGAAAGAAACAGAGGGGGGATTATAAGATGCAGATAGCCAAAACAAATCAAAGGTCAAAGAGTTTAGGGTGGTGGAGGAGAGAGAGCAGGTACGGGATCACAATAAAGGATCATGAAAGGCATGAATTTAAAGCCTCAAAGAACAGGAGAGTGATCACACAGTGTAGGGTTGGAGAAGAAAAAGGTCTCACAGTATGGCGTGGGGAAAATAAAAGGTCTCACAATATGGGGAGGGTGAAGGAGGGAGATCACACAATATGGCGTGGTGAAAGAGACATTACACATTATGGGGTGCAGTAAAAGTTCTTGAAGTACGGAATAGGGAAATGTCTCACAGTTAGGGGTAGTGGAAATAAAACAGAGCGAATGTCTCACAAATCAGGGTGGCAGGAGAGTTATTTTGCGGTAAAATGCAATAAAGCTCTCGCAATGCAACGTTTCTATAGAGTGATCACATGGCATGTGATAAAGGGAGGTTTCAGATCACGATGGCACAAAATAATTCTCATAGTACAAGGTAATGGGAGATTTAACCGTATGGGTAGTAGGAAATGGATCTAGCATGAAAGATGTGTTACAGTACAAGGTGGTGGAAGAGAGGTATCACATAAAAGGGTATTGTTAGCGATAGGTCTGACAATAGAGAGGATAGCAGTGGACTTAAAACAGGCCAGAGCTGCTCACACTCACTGTGGCAGGATCTGGTAGAGTAGTGCTTCTGCTTTACGCTTTTCCTCCAGGTAGGCCTGTGTCCGCTCCTCCACCAGCTCCTCTAGGTTATTAGCATATTGCTCCATCCGAGTGAGCAAGTTGTCCAGGATATTAGAGCTGCTCTCCCTGGGTGAGAAGTTAAACACATGGAGAGTGTGTAGGAAGGGGACAAAAAAAAGGAGAACAGGTAACAGGAACAAATGGAGATTGAGGAAAAAATAACAGACTACCTGTTAAATTTCCGTAGCAGCACTTTAATCTGGTGGAAGTCTGGCCTCTCTAATGGATCTTCAGCCCAGCAACGTTGCATGAGAAGTCCCAGCTCCTGAATATGGCAATACATGTTGGTGGAGGGCCTGAAATTGGGCTTCTCCCGGCTCCGCACTCGCTCAATTATCTCTGGCCACAAGAAAGTAATGTAAAAAGGGAGAAAGTAGAACATCAGACAGAAAGCTCACACAAAGAGGAGCGCTACACACTTTTATAGAGAGAGAAGGTATGAACACGTTACAGATATGTCAAGAATTGATGGAAAGACAGAAAAGGAGAGTGAATCTTCCAGTGAAGGATGGCCACGCAGGATCCCTACCTTTAGGACTATAGTCTGAACCATCTATGTAGAAGACACCGTTCCGTAGGGCAATCTCTTGCAGTATAATACCAAAACTATATACATCTCCTTTCTGGGTACCTTGTGGGGGAGGATTTTCCATGCGGAGCAGTTCAGGAGAAGTCCAAAGCTTCTCTGAAAAAAGAGAAAATATAATTGTGGAGTATTTGAGGGAGCATTAACATTGCCTTGCACTTTGATTGCAGCCTCCTCCGATGGTTCCTCTCTCAAAAACACCATTTTACCTTTATTGCAAACACACTACATTCCCACACTCAAAGCATCCACAAGTCATCTAATCACATGCACACATGCCAATGTTGGCACTCACTGGCATAATAAGCATGGGTATCCTCTGAATCCAGAGCGCAGCGGAAACTCGCCAGGCCATAATCCGTTATCTTTAGGACAAAGCGACCATCTACCACACAGTTGGAGGACTTGAGGTTTCCATGAGATATAATGACACTGTTATGGAGAAAAAGCATCCCCTGGAGAGAGATTTAACAGTGGGTGAGATACTGGGTTAGGAGGAAACAGAAAAGTGTGAAAGGATACAGAATGTATTAGAGAGACGTACTTGGGATAAGAGAGAACAATGAAAGAGTCAATTCATGAAAAGAGCAAAGTAAGGAACAAAAAAGAGAGGAAATGAGGAAAACAACCATGGAAAGTGCAGAGCTTGGCAAAAGCTGCAGCCTAACAAAAGTGCCATCATTTTCCACATTTTCTTTACAATTATAAATGGGATTATTTACATACAAAAATACTGTTGATAGACACAAGATTTCAATCAAGGAGGAAAAGGAAAAACTATTTGTCAGATGGGAGGAGATGTCTATATCAAGTTGTAAAGAGGAATGGTAGAGAAGGAGAGAAACTAAAATGGATAATGAAAACACAGGTGAAGTGTGGAGGGACAGGAGGACTTGTAATAAGAGCATAGTCACCAAGTAAGATCTCCACCTATGGCAATCTTACTGGTGGGTTATCAGTGACTACAAATACTAGAGGGGGAAGTCCCATAATAGGAGGTAGGACTTTCCTTAAAAATGGTGTAGCCTGTGAGAAATTCTGTAGATGAGGATGTGGGAATAAATAGTAGAGTGAAGGGAACAAGATGGGTATATTGGTTAATTAAAGACAAGATGTATTGAGGAGTGTACAGTACATTATTAGAACTTCTAACTGTGGCTCTAATACGGCTGTTCCCAAGAACTTGGGACATGGTAGATAATTACCTTAACAATGTCATTTGTTAAAGAGTATCTGAACATCCAGTCCAATGTGATGCTTTCATTCTCCAGGATATCCTGCAAACACCAAAAACACACGTGATGAGATAAAACATGCCTTCTCTGTCTATGATATAGGGACATTTTACAAATACTATACCATTATTTGGGGGTAAGTGGCAATTGTAATTCCGTGGATTAAATATATTTAAATTGTCTTAAGGGACAACGCAGTAACAATAAAAAGTTACTAGTTGTAAATAACCAGGAATGTAAGCTTATAACGAGATAGATGGCCATGCTCTTTGTGGATCTTACCTGTAGGCTACCCCTGGGGCAGTACTCTATGAGGATGCAGATGTTCGGTGGGTCAATGCAGCACCCCACAAAGTGGGTAAGATGTTCATTTTGCACATCCCTCATCTATAATACAAATGTGGTTGAAAGATGTGAATTTCTAGTGATAAACAGTTAACAATTGGATAAACAGCCCTAATGGAGGAGCCACTACTTTACATTCACTAGTGGTAAACACTGTAATTATGTTATTGGAGGTAGTTACAGAGAAGAAAGTAGTGGGGATGGACAGATAGAATTAAAGAGGAGGAGAAGTTATAGAGAGAGGTAATAGGGATTGCGCTACAAAGGGAGAGGCAGTGGGGGTGGAGCTACAGAGGCAGAGGTAGCAGGAACTGAGTTAAAGAAGAAAATGTAGCAAAAACAGAGTTTAGAGAAGGAGCGGTAGTGGGGTTTGAATCACAAAGGCAGAGTTAGCATGATCGAGTTAGCAGGAGACGAGGGGGACGGATTTACAGAACAAGAGCTAGCAGGTCTGGTGTTATAGAGATAAAAAAGTAGTGAGGATGAAATTACAGAGGGAGTGGTAGCAGGATAGAATAACAAAGGGGAGATTATTGCTGCAATGGAGTTCTAGAGGGAAAGGTAGTGAGGATTGAGTTACAGAAGTAGAACACAGTTAAAGAAAGAGAGGTGGTGGGGATCGAATCACAGAGGGGGAGTTAGCAGTGCTCGAATTAGCGTTAAACGTAGGGGATGGATTTACAGAGACAGTGGTAGCAGAGTTACAGAGAGAGGATAGTGGGGATGTAAAAAGTGATAGTAGGGATAAAGTTACTTAGGGAAAGGTGATGGGGACAGAGGGAGAGGTTGTGGTCTATAGTTACAGAGTCAGAGACAGCCTGTATGGAATTACAAAGGATGTAGAAACAGGGGCGAAGTTAAAGAAGGAGGGTTAGGGGAGCTATAATGATAGATTTTGTGGTAGTAGGGGAGAGAGAGACGTTACAGAGCCAGAGATCGTGGGGATGGAATTAAAGAGGATAAATTTGGAGATATACAAAGGGCTATAGCAGGGGTGAATTACACAGCGGGGCATCAAGGAGAGGTACAGAGAGGAAGAAGTAACAGAGATAGAGTAATAGAGGTAGTGGGCCCAGGCTGGAAGCACAAAGCGAGAGGTAGTGGCACTAGAGTTAAAGAGGGAGAGATAGAAGCGCTAGAGTTACAGGACAGAGGTAGATGTGTCAGAGTTAAAGAGGGAGAGATAGAAGCGCTAGAGTTACAGGACAGAGGTAGATGTGTCAGAGTTAAAGAGGGAGAGATAGAAGCGCTAGAGTTACAGGACAGAGGTAGATGTGTCAGAGTTACAGAGGGAGAGATAGAAGCTCTAGCGTTACAGGACAGAGGTAGATGTGTCAGAGTTACAGAGGAGAGATAGAAGCTCTAGAGTTACAGGACAGAGGTAGATGTGTCAGAGTTACAGAGGGAGAGATAGAAGCTCTAGCGTTACAGGACAGAGGTAGATGTGTCAGAGTTACAGAGGGAGAGATAGAAGCTCTAGAGTTACAGGACAGAGGTAGATGTGTCAGAGTTACAGAGGGAGAGATAGAAGCTCTAGCGTTACAGGACAGAGGTAGATGTGTCAGAGTTACAGAGGGAGAGATAGAAGCTCTAGCGTTACAGGACAGAGGTAGATGTGTCAGAGTTACAGAGGGAGAGATAGCAGTTCTGGAAATATAGAATGAGAGATAGCCATGACAAGGTTACTGATGGAAGAGAAGAGACAGATCGAGTGATAAAGAGATGGTGAGGGTGGGATGGATAGAATGGGCAGAGAGCGAGACACAGGGTGGGAAGAAGAGTCAGTGAGAGAGGAGGAGGCGGTTCTCTCTCCCAAGTGTCTGAACATCTAAAACATTACTGAAATGTCAGGGTCAGTTCTAAATAATATTGGAACAGAGCAAATAACATTATCTGTTTGAAGAACAGCGGAGATGGAAAGAGAGAGATACTGACATGGGGCTGAGAGACAGGGGCCAATACAAAGAGAAATTGAGCAAGAAAGAAAACAAAGCAATTATCACCCAAAAAAAGAGAGAAATTTGCATATTTTGCAATAGTAAACTATGTGTGCCAGACATTTAACGCAGGTCACGTAAATAGCAATTATTAGAGCAGGACTCTCCAGCTGCTCTAGAATTATTACTCCCATGATCCTCAGGCAACATTCCGCTAGGTTAGTGTTGGCTCAGTAAATCTGCAACTGTACGTGCCAATTTTTGCTATCTTCAAGTAAAGCATCTATAAAATACAGTCTATATTTTTGTGTTAACATTATACAAAGCAGTTAAATTGTCAATGAAATGAAATTCCTCTTCCCAGCAAGCACTTGGCCTTGTTTTGTTGACCAGCAGCTAATTTTCTGCATTTGTTATTTTGTTATGATGGTTTGCACAACTTAGAAGGGAGGGGGAGAGGCTGCGGCATGAGTTCTCCCTGGCATAAGGAGATCCATAGCAAATAAAATGAAATAACAGTAAAAAGGATATTTAACTCCAGTGAACTTTTAAAAGAATGAAATGTGCAAAAAAAAAAGAGCTTAGCTTTTTTTTTTTTTTTTGTACAGATTAATATAAAGCAATGTTAAACTATAGGGTGGAGTAGCAGTCCCCAAGGGTGGAGTGTGTGCACGCGTGTAAGGGGTCAGCGTGAAGCCTCCCACTCAGGCTAAGTGGAGGGGAGCATGGTCAATAAAACAGGCTGTTTATGGGATTTATGATAGGTCAGCAGATTTTCCTGGAAGTGTTAGCCAAGGATGTGTCTGAAAGAGATGGCTCCCAGATGAACACAGAAGGAGGATCGTGCAAGAAATGGGTCATCATTGGGCTATTCAGTGCATGGGAATGTGGGGGCCAAGATCACCAAATGGTCAGCAGGAGGGGTCCAAAAATTGCTTACATGTTTTAGCTCGAACAGAACTTCCCGAGTTAGTTCTATGCGCTTGCGGTTTATATATTTAATAGCAACGATATTGCCCTGTATGGAAAGGAAAATGAGAGCGTTATTAGCAAGGTTAGAAAATCATTGGCAATCACAGGAGAGGACTACGGGAGACAGGTGGAGGGTCATATCACTAATAGGAACAGATAAGATAACACTTTTAGAGGCAGTATATTGGTCATATTTTAATAAGAAAAGGAGAAGCCAGACAAAACCAATGACTCAATAACACATCAGGGGAGTGCCATACAATAGTTATAAGACAGCATTGATTGTAACAGGTCAATGTTCATGTGTGGCATATCATAGTGAAGGAGGTTTGGTTACCTTGTAATAGGCCGTCTTGGCATAAATCTGAAATTGACCCTCAGTTGTGAGAAGTGATCCATAATTGGAACCTCGCTGGAGTAAAAAAAAAAAGAAGAAAAAAAAAAAAGGAAATAGTGGGAATACAAGATATAAAAAAACACTTTCCTGTAAAAACGTGCGTATGGCACAGTTTGTGGACATATCATTTCTAGCAATCTACACACAAGTGGAAGTTGCAAAGGCAATAGAGGGTGGTAAGAAAGCAGATAAGATCATTTTTTTTGGCTATGAGTGTGCATTGTGGAATTTGAGAAGACCTTGTGATGATGATGAATATGCTAATAAACCTGTTATGAAAAGTTTTGGAAGGCAGGGTGTTTAAGAATAGGGATATGAGTTGAAAGACAACAGTGGGAGAAGATTAAAAGATTGAAGACTATCAAATAATGTTATGAAAGTAATAATCAAACAACGCCAGAAAATAGTGACTTCTTTGCATAGAGCACCAACTGGCTATAAATTGACTAAATCCCAAACCTAGCATAACATGTGTGGTGCAACATTAAGTCATAGGCATTTAATTTCAGGATTAAAAGTTTGTCTCTGTGTGTATCCATACCTTCCCTTAGTCCCTAAATATACAATGTTGATTTATTAATTAACATGGTAGGATAATACTGTATATGTAATGATAGCACACAGCTGTATATCACTCAACTAATACTATCAACAATCTAAGTGGAGAGTGCGAAGGCTTGCAGTATGAAACACAAAAACTATTTTTTTAAAACACAATCTATATTCAATTTCTTTGTCAGTACGTAATGTGTTAGGACCATAGTAAAACATGTAACAATTCCAGCACCAAGAGACCCCATAAATCCTGAAAAGTCTTCAAAGGGTGTCTCTGCCAGAATGGTTTGGCAGGGGATCTGTTGGGTAATAATCACTCTACTCAGTAATGTAAATTCATCCTCTGAGAATGTAAGATAATGTCACATTAAACTGTGGCACAGCGTTTTTGTAATTTTTCACACACAGGAGGACATGAGACCAACGTAATCATAGATTCAGATGATTTAGTGGGAGCCATTCCAGCTATTATCTTCCACAAATATCCCATGGATCTTAGTGCTACTAGTACTGAGTCAGCAGGATCAAGTAGATTTCATAATACTCCGGGATATCCATCCGGTACATACTGGAGATAGGGTTAGATATCCAAGAGATGCAGGGGTCTGGCTCTTCCTCTGAAACTTAATCAGGAATGGTCGGACACATTGCCATGAGTTTGAGTCTAATATGTCCTTCTTCAGAGACATTTCCTTCCTCCGCAGCTGGAATGGCAATTTTTTGCCCTCTGATACCTTACTCGCAGCAAATTATTAAACCTACTAGCAAAAGCATTTGTCATCTTCAAGCTCAGTTACCAAAAAAACTGTTAATGACAATCCCAAAACACAGGTTGGCAAATATCTAAACACTAAAACGTTTGGCTAGAGAGCACTCAGGTGGAGCCAGAAAATGGGTTACAAAAAAGCATTTATTAGGGGATAGTTGAAGCACAACATAGGACAGCAACAGCTGAAAAATATATGACACATACACATAATAAGCTTGGTAGTGCATATAACAAGCAGCTTTAATCAATCTAAATAAGAACTACTGAGTCTAGTATCTGCAGACAATTCTCCGCATTTGAATATTAAGAACACTTTGGTCCAGACAGGTCTCCAACATTCACCTAAGAAACTGGTCCTTTCTAGCCCCTCTCCATACCCTGTGTTTTCCTTGACCAAGTACCCTTTTCCAGCAGGTCTCCGATCTGCTGCAACTGCTTGCTCATCAAAGTAAGCCTGTACTAAATTAGGACTGCAGACATTGCTGGTGCTATATCATAATTGGTTAAAAGTAAGCCAGTAAATGCAGAGAGTTGGACATAGATTTATTGTCACAGTCGGGTCCTCTGAAGACTCAGACTTTAATGCAAAGATCCCGAGCTATGACAAGAAGTAATACGTATGGGTGGATTGCCCTTGGACACGGGGTGCGGTTTGTGTTGCTCTGATGAGGTTACCAGTGATAGGGTGAGTTTGCTTCCTGCCCTGCGCAAGTTCTTCTCCATGTTACTGGTCTGAATGTCTTCCCACCGGATTTTCCACAGCTCAGCAGCCAGCTCCTTCTCCAGACGTAGCTTCCTGCAGGAACAGTTTATGAATACATACACACACACAAACATATATGTATATACCTATTTTATATATTTATTTTATACCCGTTATACACATACATATATGATTTCTACTAAAATACACAGAGCATGGTGGCCCACCTGCATATTATTTAAGTCTGGTTTGAGGTCACTCGTTAACTACGGTTTTATAAATGCATTATGGTGTTAGCTAACTAAACTCTGTCTATATTTATTATTATATCTTTGATAAATTGACAGTAAGGGTCTAGGTCTTGGCAGTACAGCGCACGACTCAGAACACTTTCTCCTATAATCCTCTTTTTTCCCCTCTTGGTTTTGACAGCTGACGTTAAACTGTGATCCCATGCAATTACTGGCTCAGCTTGCCGCTTGCATTGAAACAAGGTGAATAGGGCCTGTGAGCACCTAACGAGTATTCATGTGATTCAGAATCCCTACCGCCCCCTTCTCCCCTTCCATTCTGAGAGTTCCATTTTATGCAACAGCTCAAAGGCCGAGAAACGGAGCAGAAAGAATAATGGACAATAAGCTCGACCTGCAATTTGCAAGAGGAGCCTGGCAGGATTTACCTGTATATAAAGATGGAGGAGATGGTGATCACAAGCAGTATAATACACATAACGATGGAAGTTATTTCCAGTATAGAGAAGCTGGCTGTGAGAAAACAATAAATTGCACAAAAGTTATGGAACCAATAATTATCAATGACCTAACTTAAACTGTAATTATATGGCTTCCACCCATTACATCACCTCTACAAAGAACAGTCGCAACAATACCCACTGCATGATATTACAGCATAACATCACCCCTACAACAAACTGACTGCACAAAATGCCATCACAACCACCACCCCACACCAAAACTAGCTGCAAAATACACAGTGCCAACAACTTATTAAACTCCCCTACCACACTGACTGTACTCAGTTACAACAACCCTACCAATAGTGATTGTACCTCACCACTACTGATACTGACTATAAAACACCCCATTACAGCATCCGTACCAACACTGACTGTACAACACTCAATTACAACAACCCTACCAATAGTGATTGTACCTCACCCCTACTGATATTGACTATAAAACACCCCATTACAGCATCCGTACCAACACTGACTGTACAACACACTATACAACATTCCATCAATACTGAAAGTTCAAACTCATCATCATGAAATACTCACCAATAGCAACTGTACAAAACCACATTACAACACACCCACCAATACTATCTGTACAATACCCCATTACAACAGTCCAACAGTACTGAATGTACAGCTCCCATTAGGGGGTGAAACACCCTTACCAAGACGACCTGTACAACACATCCAATAAAACCAGTATTACAAGCTCCCATCATAACTACAACAACCACCAATATTGACTGTATAACATTTTATCACAAAACACCCACCAATACTTACTGTATAACAGACACCAATAATAATTGCACAGCTTCCCATTATATCAACCCCATCAATATTGACTGTACAACTCCTCATCACAACACGCATACCAATGAGAAATGTATAACATCTTCTTACATGCTCACCTACCTTTCATACATTCTGGGTTATTGTTATCAAAGCCACAAGGTGGAACATCTCTTGGGATCTTGTTCCCTGGCCAATGGATCTCCCGCTTGGGGGCTATGGTCCGCAATGTCCCATTGTAATTCAATACAATCTGCGGCAGAGGGAAACAGTTAATCACTGGAGTATGTGGCGTGATCTCTCACCTTATCTGATGGCAAAACCAGTCTGTTCTCACCTGGAACTCCCCGCTGCGTTCAGACATATCCCACAAGGAATAGTCATTTTCACGGTCCCCATTGGCATCCATCTTCATGAACCCTGACACTCCTGTGACAAACATTATACAAATTAACAGCTTATCTAAAAAGCTACCTAGTAGGAGGATATAGCAGTAGATGGTGACTTGAAAACAACTTCTCGAACGTCAGACAGGGATAAGTCTCTGGACATACAGAGAGTTCCACTATAGTCAGTTAAAATGACTTTTCTTGATATAAAGTTAGGGGGCCTTTTGCAAAAATAAACAAAAAGTCTCATGTCTACTTCACAATCAAACATGTAGAATAAAGTCAGGCCTTGTATTATTATACTTTAACCTCATAATATGTATCCATAGATGGAGAGATTGCAGCAGTCTGTATGGATTGATACAGCGCAATATTATGTGCCAGATCTATAAGCAGTATGATCCTAGCTAGATTGTGAGCTATGCAGGTTAGTGAGCTATAAATACCAGTAAGGAAGCCACTTATTACAGTAACACATGTCTGTGTAACCTCACACATGAGCTTCAGAGGTTTTTTATTAATGTGTGTTGTCCGTTTCAGAACAAACATTCCTCCCAGCCCCGGCATTCCATATTTCTAATTAACAAGCTGCCCTCATCAACCAGGAGTCACTAGGATAGGCTGCAACGTGGGGGGAAAGAACTCTGCTTGGGTGACCCCTATCTTACAAGCAAACCTCCTGATTCAACAGACAGTGGGTGGAAGGACAGACGGAGCACTGCGGGAAGAGAGAAAGGGTAGATGAGATAGCAAAATACTGAGTGGACCACGATTGGGAGACGACATGGGAGACACTCTGTTACAGGAAAAGATTAAGAAATAAAACAGGAGGGAGAATTAAATGAGGGAAATGTGGAGAAAGTGAAATTGTGGAAACAAAAGATTTGATTTATGGGCACATAGCAGAAATGGGTAAGATCGGGGATTATTGAAAAGGCTAAAATAGAGAGCATGTAAGGCAACAGTAGTATAGTGCAAGATGGAGAGAGGAAATTAATTATATAGAGGATGGATACAAAAAGAGGTGACAGGAGGGAACAGAGTGTACAGAAAACTGGATGGAAAAGAGGGAAGGGGCATTATAAAAAGGCACAAAGGGATGGTCAAGAAGAGGGATCAGATGAAAGAAGCAATATACTGTAAGGGCACACCAGGACCAACCAACAGAAATGCAGCACAGAAAAATAGGAGTAAAAGGAGGGTACAGCAGGGGGAAAGATGAAGTGATGGCACAGAAGGATGAGGAGTGATGGGAGATGGTAAATGTGATGGAAGGACAGAGCAGGAAGATGAGTGAAATGAACAGTGAGTACAGAGGGAGATAGAAGAGTTCAGTGGGAAGAAAAGCAACACAAGTACTTAAAGGGACACTATAGTCACTAAAACAACTGTAGCTAAATGAAGCAGTTTTTGTGTATAGATCATGTCTCTGCAGTCTCACTGCTTAATTCTCGGCCATTTAGGAGTTTAATTGTTTATGCAGCCCTAGCCAACCTCTCTACTTTGCATAGCCTTCCTAAACACTTCCTGTAAAGAGTCATCTTATGTTTATACTTCCTTTATTGCAAATTCTGTTTAACTGAGAAATTCTAATCTCCTGCTCTGTTAATAGCTTACTAAACTCTACAGGAGCCTCCTGTATGCAATTAAAGTTCAATTTACAGAGCAGGAGATAAAAACTTTCAAAGTAAGTTACATCTGAATGAAAATGAGGCTGAATTCTGAGGCTGAGTTAAGCTGAGGAATCATACTTGGTGTCAGAAGTGGGATACTACGAAGATGCATCACTGACGTGTTAAATGTTCTACTGCACAATAACACTTAACAATTATGTTAAGAAAGTGACATTGCCTGAACTGATGTAACACCATTAATGGAAATCTCTTTGACAGCATCACTGGGAAAATTTGAGTTCTGATCTTTAAAGTATGCCGAATCAGAGTGCAGTGTTAATGGTGGAATCACATAAAGCTGCATCAGTAGGAGACTAAGTGGCATTTTGTCAAGTAGAACATTTGTAATGATGCCTAACAAAGAACTTTAAACAGTGATGTTTAAATGTGTCTTACCATAGAATGTTCTGTTCCACATGTGACCGGTGACTGCAGAGGCATTCTTCATGCTATAGCCCTTAGCTCTGGTCTCATTGACGGCATGAGCATAGAGCATGACACCGTCATGGAATGCGGCTGCTATAGTATTCATCTGTCAACACACATGTAGTTAAACTATATAGTGACACATGATGGTTGTGCTCACATGATAAGCACATGCTTTCATCTTAGGCCATACGGTACATCCTTTGCACACATCCAGGGTACACTGGGCCATACATACATACATATACAGTGCACTAAACAAATACACAGAAACATAAAATAAACATAACCCTACACATAGATAGTATCTTGCAGACAATTTACTGTCTATTAGGACACAGTGGTGCAACTATCAAGATCTACAATATGTTATAAGCTTGTGAGGAGATCAGGCTCAGATTGATATACTATATCTTAGTAAAGAATAGTCGAGGAATTGCTAAGAGGTATCAAAGCATGTGTGCATACTAGATCCCCCGACTCCCCCATCTGTACTCACCAGGGTGTCCTCAGTTGTGTGGTTGAAATGCAGAGCAGCATAATGCTTCAGGTCCACCAGGAATCTTTTATATTCAGGATTTTGTGGCTCTCTATAAGTGATAATCATCACTACCTGACCGGGAGACACCATTAGTGAGCAGGCATGCATACTTTGTACTGAATTACAGTAGAACAATTTATAGAGTCTCCAGTAATTTACATATTCTAACGCGGCATGCTCTGACTGCACTGAGAGACCCAGAACCTGTCCCAGTTCCTGCCACTTGTCATTCCTGTGTGACAGCTTACACCTCAAAGGCAATACACAGTGGGAGACGGGTTAGCTGTCACCATCCATGCCATCTCCTAGCTGAGTGAGCCGGAGGAATGAATGAATGGAAGCATGCATGATTTAGTGCACAGTATCTTAGTACAATCTGAGTGGGTTGATGGTTATTCATTAAATTACTGTTGTATCTATCTATTAGAGCGCATTCTCTTACAGATTTACCAGCTTCCTCTATCTAAATCCAACATGTTATCATCATCTGTTATATATACCACTCCTTTAATCTGTGTATGTTTGGTTCTCTGCCCCTATTTTTAACTCTTACTGCATACACACTCCTTTTTAAAACTCTTTTGGTACCCGTTCTTCCATTTATAACCCATCACCTATTTATAACCCTTACAGTACCCACATCATATATTTATAACCATTTCTGTACTCTCTCTCCTGTTTATAATTGTTAAAGTACCACATCTCCTCTTTGTAACCGTTACTATATATGTCTACTGCTTAAAACCCTTACTGTACCCCCTCTCCTATTTATAATATTTATTATATGTCTCCTGTTTATAACCTTGACTATACCTCCTCTCTTTTTATAACATTTACTATACCTCCTCTTGTTTATAACTGTTACTGTATTTCTCTATACCTATACTGTATTTACTATACCTCTTCTCCGGTTTATAACCTTTACTATAACTCCTCTCCTGCTTATAACCTTTTCTATACCTCCTCTCCAATTAATAACCTTTACTATACCTCCTCTTGTTTATAACTGTTACTGTATTTCTCTCCTGTTTAAAATTACTCACTCCTAGACATATCCCCTTTAGTAAAAATCCTCCATTATCTACATGTCGTATGGTGTTCATCCCTCCTACATTTATATCCCCTATAATATGCCCCTTATGTAAACTATACCACCATGATTGCCCAGTTTATGTAATTCTCTCAAGGCTCTCACTCCTCACTTTATGTATAGCAGGACTGGAAAATCCTTGGGACAGGTATCCACAGCTTCTAAATATTACAGCCCCCCTCGAGTATGTCTGCCTCTTTCACTTTTCAAATCATGCTAAACTGGGCAGAAGGTTTCTGCCATCCAGTACTAAAGCACATCCCGCCTCTTACATTCACCAACTTATTAACTTATTTTATCTTCTGTCAGAGCCAATAAATCACAGAGTGGAAAACACTTGTGGGGCTCCAGGATCCAGCATAAACGAAATACACAGAGATAGGAAAAGACAGACACACTGTATATGTTTATTAATGACTTGAACGTCTCATCAGCCAGTCCGAGGAAACAGCAGAATTCTATTAAAAGTTTGAGTTGCCTCTGGAAAAGCAAAGGACATTCTGGGACAAGAGGAAATGGCTTTTGTGACTTTCCTTACCTTAAAGGCCTCCTTGGCTGTGGCATCATGTGCATCTCCTCTATGCCAGGGTCGTCGAGGGTCAGGAAAGCTGGAGCCATGCAGGCTGGCACCAAAGACATCAATGTAAAAGAAGACATATTCACCCGTACACAGACCAGAATTGAAAGCCTGGAGCATGAGCTGTCTGAAGGTGTCAGGGGTGCAGCAAATGTAGATAACTAGAGAATATGAGAGGGTGCAGGGAGAGTCAAACAATGTAACAGATGATGCATTATTCAGAGAAGTAAAAATCCCTATACCCAATAGTCAAAGTTCCTCCCCTCTGCCAAATCTCTAAACACAGATCAATTCCTCTGCAAAGTGACAAAATACAGCTCCACTCCGGTGACCGAACACTGCACTTCTCACCTTCTATAACAAATGACCAAACATGGCACTGCTTCTCCATCTGGTGAACAAACAAAGCACAGATCATCTTCCAGATGACCAAACATAGCACAGTTTTACCACTCAGTGACCAAACATGGAAGAGTTCTTCCACTCAGCGATCATGCATGGTGCAGCTCCTCCACCTAATGACTTCACATGGCACAGCTCCTCCAACTAAAGACTAGACATGGCATAGCTCCTCCACCTAATGACTTCACATGGCACAGCTCCTCCAACTAATGACTAGACATGGCACAGCTTGTCCCCCTAATGACTACATATGGCACAACTCCTCCAACTAAAGACTAAACATGACTCAGCTCCTCCAGAAGACTAGACATGGCACAGCTCCTCCAGCTAATGACTACACATGGCACAGCTTGCCCCCCTAATGACTACACATGGCACAACTCCTCCAACTAAAGACTAGACATGACATAGCTCCTCCACCTAATGACTACACATGGCACAGCTCCTCCAACTAAAGACTAGACATGGCACAGCTCCTCCACCTAGTGACTAAACATGGCACAGCTCCTCCACCTAGTGACTAGACATGGCACAGCTCCTCCACCTAGTGACTAGACATGGCACAGCTCCTCCACCTAGTGACTAGACATGGCATAGATCCCCCACCTAATGTCTACACATGACACAGCTCCTCCACCTAATTACTAGACATGGCACAGCTCCTTCACCTAGTGGCCGGATATGGCACAGCCCCTCCACGCAGGAACCAAATATGTCACCGCTTGTTCACCAAGTCACTAAAAACAGCACAATTCCTACACCATGCCACTAAAAATGGCCCAGCCCCTATATTCAGTGACCATGCATACCACATCTACTCCACCCAGTGGTTAAAAATGGCACAGTTCCTTCACCCCCTGACCTTAAAACAATCAAGAGCCATTATTTGCCAAGGGCAAACTAGAGCAATTCTGGGGTAATCAACAGGAAAATTCTAGTGGTTGCCATTGTGATTGTATCTAATCGAGTTTAAGGTTCTCCTTAATTAATATGACAATTTTTTTCATGCTCTGGCTCAACAGGGCACAACTCATACATGTCAGCTTTATGTTAATCTGACCAAAGGCGTGGAACATTATGGCCTACTAATGAGCATAGAGACAGAAGTAAGCTGCAAACCAATTACAGTTATTGTAGTTTATTTATACAACATAAAAGTATTCCATGGTGCATAACATTTTCATGTACCATTAATATTGTTGATGTTATGTAACATTTGCCCCTGTGTTAATATAATTTAAATGGTTGCGAGCAGCACAACTTCACAGATGTAGGAAGCATGGAGATTCCCCAGACAACCAGCTTCCGACTTCATTGATATATACATCACATTTACATTTAAACACAGCCTTAGTGTGTGTAATGCGGTTTTCTGATCACAGAAGACCAATTTCCATAACATTCTATTTTTATAATGGTTATAATTACTGGAATGGAACTTTCCATATGGCTGCATTTTCATACACTGGCTTCTCAGTACTTATGATATAGCTCTATCGGCAGTCACTTGACTGCGTTTAAAAGGAGTGGGAGGCACATAAGCTCACAGTGACGCAAATCTTTTACGAATGGTTACATTAAAGGGACAGGGAACAGGTGCGTACTTTCTCCCAAACTGGGGTGTTAAATCTGGATAGTAGGGGGTGTGGAGGGCCGGTATGGGATTCTCATAGATGAAGTGGTTGGGGTGATTAAAGGATGGCTAACAAGGCAGCCAATCATGACCACTTGTGTTTGAAGTAGTTAGATTGTAAACTTGTTTAAGCAGAGCCTTCTTTACCCACTGTTCCACCATGTCAATCAAGTTTTGTTAGAATTTAGTATTTGTCTCATGTCTAGTGTTTGTTTACCTGTTGTTCAGCATTGCGGTATATGCTTGCGTTATATAAATAATTGTAATTATAATTAGAGTATGCTTGTTAAGGCACACACACACTGACTTGTAATAGCTTCAGGCATCCACAAGCTTATTAACTGAAAATACGCGTACTGTGCCGTTTGTGGACTTTTGTCTCCCCAGAAACCAGAATACAGTGAATAATATGGAACAGAGGGAATGTCTTTCTAGATTAGGAACCGCCAGGGGGTTATATTATGGACATATCTGTAATACTGCTCAATTGTGAGTTTGAAAGTGTCCCAAAAGGTAGACAGCTGCCATAATATCATCAGGTAAACTGAAATTCATCTGTTTAGCTGGCTTCAAACCTTAGAAAGAAAAACTGCTATAAAGATTGGGATTACGAAATCTAAACTTCATCAGCCTACTTTAAATCTTTAACTTAGTGAATGCTTAGTGTATGTTGCTAAACTCATTTTAAACCACCAACAGGGTTAAAATAGCTCAAGAATAGAGAAGCGGCCGATCTCCCTACTGGTTGATCTGCTGGACAATGCTGCAGCAGTTGGCCTGGGGCTGGCGTAGTGGACAAACTTGGACTACCGGGACACTGACTTCCTCTGTCACTATGCTAGTTAGCATCAGGGCAGGAGGGACCATAGTTATAAGTAACTACTCCCCCTCTATGCTTCCCCTGGGAGTAGTGGTCACGGGCCCTACCACTCGTAGAGTACAACTATATTGTAGTAGCCTATTTTTGTCTTGCTTTAGCCTTTTTTTATTTTATTATTCTCATGTATAATTTAGCGTTGCACAAGTTGTCAGCAATAACCTTCCAACTGCCACTTTGCCGACATACCAATCGACCTGTAATTATACACCAAAACCAGAGCAATGTTTCAATCTAGCGTTATCCCTCTTAATCAACATACAAATTAGACAGTTACTCATTTATATCTATGTCAATGTCTGCTGATTTTCTATAATATTGTTACTGCTGATATAATCCCACTTTCTTATTTCTTATAAGCATGTTTATAATTCTAAAAACTGTGCAGTTCTCACATCTGTCATAATATTGATTGTTTTCACTGACATATCCTGGCTTGTCCTCGCTGTTATGGCATTACAAGCCTATTTGTTTTTCTTTGCAAAAATAAAATTAAAATAAAGATTAAAAAAAACAAAAAACTATTTAAAAGTTGATAGAAAAAGGAGACTAATGCTTATTACCTGGCCTTATAGTGGCAGGACTTAACACAAAATAGAGAAGTACAAGATATGCAAAGGTCAGGGAGACAGAATGTAACAAACAATAAGACAAGCCAAAGGTCAGGGAGAATAGAATAAAGAATAATTGATAAACCCGCGAGGGTCAGAAAAGTCAATTAATACTACACGGAAAATGCACTCTCACATAACTACGAAATGGAAACCACACAAGGGCACAGTAAAACATCTTAAATGCGCTTATATAGCCTTAAATAAGTTGGCAGAGTTTGGTCAACTTTTTTTACTGAAGCCAGAATGTGGGTGCGTGTCATCAGTATGATGATGAATAAATGTCCACATCCTAAACCAGGCCTGGGGAGGTGGAGCTATGTGGCCAGCGTCAGAAAAAGGCGCAAATGCAGAAGAGGTGGTTGGAAACAGCTCCTGCTGTAAGTTAATAGATCACATGGGGACGCACCTCACATGTACATGCTGAGGGATTTCAGTGCCAATATGGACAGGCTAAGTCAAAATACCTGAAAAAAAATATTTGCTTACTAATATAGAAGATGCTACATATGTTCAACTTCCACAATCTGGGGCCCTATGAGGGGGATATAGATGGTGACGAATGGGGAGACTTTTGGGAGGCTGCAGCCAAGGTGTCTATCTGTGTAACTTCACAAGAACAAATGTACAAGATTTTGTTTAGATGGCACACAACCCCTCTGTACCTCTGTACCTGGGAGACCTAGTGGGGGAAAATGGGACTGTCCCTTTGTCTCCCGGGTCCAGAGAGTCCGCTCACGGGAAAAGAGCTGGTCTTTTTGTCCCAGCGGGCACCGCAAAGCCCACGAAACTCGCCAGTGCCTCAGGAATGCCCACACCAATCTCAGGGACCCTCACAGCAGTACCTTCCTCGACCAGGCTCCACTCGCAAGGTGTCTGTGTGAAACCCTGCAAGGGAAGCATCTCCATTCAGGGTACAAATGCTCCCCCTGAACGGTATTAGTCTGTACGAAATGGCGGCCACCCCTTGCAGTTTCACACTTATGTTGCAAGTGCGAACGTTCTGATTAATTGGTGTGAACGTTCTAATGGGGCACAGGGGAGGTCCTCGTTTGAGAAACAAACGAGTCGGGAAACAATCCGCGAACGCTCATTAATTGTTTCCCTTGCGGTTTGACACCATGTTGCGAGGTGTAAATGTTCTAAACTAACATTCTAAATGGGATATCGGGGTGGTCCCTGTTCGGGAGGCGAATTAATTCCCTTTGCCAGGTAATGAGAAAAAGGGCTACTCCATAGCCTGCCCTCTATGGTTTTTAATAGTAATGAAATCTCTGAGTCGGAGCATAAGGATGTGGAAAGAGATAGATACAGGTCAATGAAAGAAAGAACAAGAGAGAGGATAGGGGAAGAAAGTAAGAGCAACATTGAGGATGTAGAGGCTGGTGGGTGCAAACTAGGTTGTTTTTGTTACAGTGGCGGAACTAGATAGGGGGTAATCTCTCTATTGGTGGGGGCCAAGGTTTCTCAACGCTACATAATTGCATATTAAAATCCTGACATTCCCTCTGAGCCTCATGCATTTTCACCTGGTAAAATCTTTCTGAAATAAATGTGTTTTGACAACACATAACCATAAGCGAACAATGAATAACCTAATCTATACAAACCTTGGACAAAACATTTTTACGTTGAATACATTTCACATTAGCTTTTCATGATTGGTTCGTTTTATTAATCCATTAAACCCTAGAACAGGAGATTTCCAGGAGGATGTTCTCTCTGTCCGTGTGAGAATTGTTCTCCTAGTTTATACTGTCCCATTAGCTGGGATAAAAACCTCTGTTACATACCAGTTAGAAAACGTACACACCACTGAATAACATTATGTGATGTAAATATGGATATAAGTCAGGCAATTAATATTTTTTTCCTTTTCAAAGAAACAGAAGAAGTCTCCTACAAAAACATTTGGTGGACTTTCAAAGCATACATGACAAGTGTAATTATAGGGATAGAGTCCGCCACAAAGAAAGAGGCCCATCGTTTAGAGACAGAATGAACTCACAAATTGAAGCCGCTGCAGTGCCAACATAAAGTGACACACGAAGAAAAACCTTTTAAGAAAATTATCATGATTAGAGGGATTATCAACAAATTGCTCAAAGAAAATAGTTCTATGAAAAAGCAAATCAGCCAGATATTATGGCAGCCAATAAATAGAGAGGATTAAGGACACAGTTTTAACATGTACAGTATCTGCCACTAAGAATTTCTCAGGTTTAATTGATAGTGACCTCAAAATACACTGCAGAAGAATTTGCTAAATATTATTTTAATTTATTCAATGGATCAACCGTGAGTCCATAACCTAACACACGTTTGAAGTAGACAATTTTGTGTCTTCACACACAACCTAACGAAACTGCTCTCTCTTTCTTGTCTTATCCAGAGCTAACAAGAATGATTAAATAATTAAGTTATTGGATGAAGATATGTCACAGAAGGAGATAATAGGAATTTTCAAGAAATGTAAACTCTAGAAGCCTACTGGACCAGATGGATTTGTAACTAACTTCTACTCAAAATACTGGGAGATGTTAACCCCAAAATGGATATTTTATTAATGAAAGAAACAAATCCCCAACATAAAATTCATGAGCTCCCAACTGTAGTCATTCATTGGGAAAGGAATGACCCTTCTTGCTGTAGTAGCTACAAGCTGATTTCTATCATAAATTTGTATGTCAAAGTATATGAAGTATATAACGTTCTAAACAATAGGTTGGGCAGCCTTATACCAGCACTAATTAACCCGTTTCTGTGGAGGATACTCCTTAATATGTTTTCCATGAAAGAGCTACAACCTTAGCATAGCTCTGTCTTCATGTCAGTATAACTATGAGTCACATCTCTAGTTATCTTCCAATTTTAACTAGACCGGGCTGCCCACTTTCACGTTTACTATTTGTATTAATCACAGAAACACTAGCAGAAAACAAAAATATAACTGACATTCATATTAAAAGCCTCAATTGTGGAATTTCTGCAAATGTTACACTGCCTCATTTTCAGCTAATATCTTGATCACTGCGATATCGTCTTTTACTGCCTTGCCAAATTAATACAAATGTGTACCTGTGTTCTTCCAGATTATCAGGGTAAACAATGAAGGTCAAATGTAAGGTTCTTAATAAGCCACTGCCAATGACTACAAAGAGTGTATTGGAGAACAGTTATTCTTTCAGATGATGTGATGAACCAATTAAATACCTTGGAGTTATAATCACTGGAGAAAAACAAAAGACATGTAATTGTACAACTACAGACCAATTCTACATGTTCTAAACACTCCATAGCTGCAGGTATTCATATCAAATATAACTCATCAGAGGAGTATAAAGTCTATGCCATCAAAATTACAATTCTTCCAGTGAGTCTGTAAATATGTCGCACCGTTGTGAATTATAAATCTGACATACATAAATAGCAAAATAAAATACTTAAATTAATCTAGAACAATATATAGCCATGGTCTCACTAAATATCTTGTACGGATCTAAACTGCTTGCAGGTTTAATTGTTCTGAATATCCTTTTGTAGCAAATGCTGCAGTCAAACATGTCCCATGGAAAAACAGAAAAACCTGTTGGGTCAATATATATTGGTTTTTAGTTTAAGCAATTTAAGCACTTTTTCAAAGCATGGCAATTTTTCTATTTTTTTTATTTAAGTATACACAGATTAGCTCCTTTTATCTTGGATAAAAGTTTCTAGAAAGTATATTGCTTAAATTCACAAGTTTAAAGTATATATATATATATATATATATATATATATATATATATATATATATATATATATATATACATACATATACACACCTGTAATTGTAAACTCTGCTCTTTAAAAAATACATTCTTCCAGCTTTGTTTCATTATATATTTATGTTTAGAATCAGTCACCAGCTCATCTTACTTATTGTTTTTGCGTTATTAGCAATTGCTGTGTATGTAACAATCTAATACACTTTATATAGAAAAAAAGGTTACTTTATTAATAAAAAAACAGAAAAAAAAAAGGGGGATAGTAGGATTTTTTAAAGCTTCGATATCTGGATATATATATAGCAGAGTGGATCTCAGAAAAAGAAATAGTCCATGCAAGTTCTTCTTTAAAAAAAAAAATTTAAAAAATAAAATTCAAACTATTTTTAGTAAATTGTTTATCCATTCTAAAAATATAAGGCAGGGTATTGTCTGTAGTATTTTGAGTAATGATAACTTCGCTGCCACAGAACTGCAAAATTTCAGTTCAAACCCTAGGAATCTTTGGGCAAGATAGCTAGTGATATATATCCACCTACCATAGATTATGTGTGTTGGAGCAGGCCTATCTCAACCCTTTTTCTTATTGAATATATATTGACACTATATAAATAGTACTAATAATAGTGCCTGTCTTTTGTGATAAGCTAAAGTAAGCACAGATTCAATTTCTTTATATACCGTGATGTGCCTCTGCCATGAGCCATAATGCAGTCAATAAGAAAAATATTTGAAAATCTCAAAATAAAATGACATCATAAAGTAAAGCATTTATTTTGCTTTGACAGTAGGAAGTGTTATTCCCAACCACCCTTTTTTAGGCAATAAAGCATGCCCACATGAGCAAAAAGACTGCGCAATTTGTTAACGCTAAATAAATAATTGTGCCTTGTGGTTAGGGGTACAATTTCTTTAGCAATACAAATTCTAAGCACAAAACCATTTTTGGAAATGACATCCAGCAACCATAAACACTCTTGTGATTAACAGTGTGACAGAACTATTAACTAAATGGTGTGAAAAACTATTCAATAATCCAAGTGTGTTAAAAAAATTCCTAAATGCTATATGAAACAACTACAGACCCATCTTGTGGTTCTATAGTAAAAATGTTTATTCACTAAACAGTGCACATAACACATTTAAATAAATACCTACAGATCAATACTGCTCCTGGTAGCAAGTAAAGCTAGAGAGAAAAATGAAAGTTAAAAATTGTTTTAAAACAAGTGAAAAACATTTAGTTTCATTTGTTTTAACATATTTTAGTTTTGGAAAAAAATTTAATGGAAAATGAAGGTGACGGCAGTTTTTTTCTCCGATGTGGATGAGTTTTACTGTGATGGAGACCCATCCTCCCTAAATCTAATTGTGTGGAGTGGCACTCATACCATTCTTATCTTGTAAGTGAAATTCATATACATGAACTTAGAAAAGTTGACCTAATAATTTGCAATATTACACTTAATTTTTCTTTCTGGGTCTACAAGGAGCAATATTGATTTAAAATGATTTATTTAAATGTGTTATGTGCACGATTTAGTCTATATAATAAGTCTACAATTATTTCACACACATTTGTATTATTGAATAGTTTTGCACACCATTTAGTTAATTGCTCTATAAATATAATAATAATAACAACTAGCATAAAAGGAGAAATAGCATTTGTTGTGAAATACCCCTGCTTGTGTATATATTTTGAAAGAAACTGGGTATTTTTTTTCTATGAATGCTGCTTCTTAAAAATGCAACCATAATGTAAGAATAATGCCTGTACAGGGGCACAATGCCTACATATGGTAAGCATAGTTACATCAAGCATGTACTCTACAGAGCTATACTTTATTACAAACATTTCCTGAAGTGTGCTCCGTGACTTCACACTTCTCTGGATATTAAATTGAATCCTATTAATTGTGATTAAAAGACCTTCTTAGGAGGGGGCGTGGCCGACAACGAGCCAAACCAGAAGTGCTTTAGTGAGGCTCCCACACGGACCCGCTAAAAAAATTGAACTTTACCCTATCAGCAAAAATATACTTAACCATACCCTCCACGTTCCAGAGACAAACCATGGGAAGCAAGCACAAGAAATCCCGCCGCCCGGAAGACTCCTGAATGCCCGACATCAGGCTCTCTTTTGAGAAGCCCACAGTGCGGCCGTCACCCAAGGCTCAAAACGAGGCTGAGGCCTCTGAAGAGTTCCAGGGGGATGCTGATTCCACCTCATCAGTCGGCTCAGATGGCGTATACAGGAAATCTGAATTGGAGGAAGACTCTTCCCCATCCACCAAGGGGGATATTAATAGGTTTTTAATAGAGCTGAGGCGCATGTGGAAGAAAGATCTACTGGAGACAAACACCGACAGCCAAACACCGGAGACTAAGAACCAGGTGAAGGAGCTTAGCCACCAAGTCCAGATGCTGCACAAGACGGTCACTGTGTTGGAGTCTAGACACAGGTGGTGCAATATCCGCCTAAGAGGTATCCATGAACAAATTGGGGGAGAGGAATTGCTGTCCTTCACGTGGAAGCTAGTGGCCACTATGAGCCGCAAGTGGGAGACAGATACCTCACTGGTGACGGCGGTGTTCAGGGTCAGGAAGGCGGCTACAGCCCGCAGAGATGTCATCATCGTCACCAAAGATATAGCGGCAAGATCCGCCATTATGACTCCGCTCCAGAGCCCTGGGAACAGTGCACTACAAAGGCTGTGATATCGCCCTATATGTAGACCTTCCGTTTCTTGGTGTTGCTGGAAAAAAGACAGTTGGCCCCGATTGCCGGGAGACTGAGAGATCACTCCATCAAGTGTAACTGGGGAGTGGAGGGCTCTCTAATAGTCATGAAAGAGGACAGCATACTCACCTTGACCTCAGGGGATTGATCCAGAGACTTTCTCTACACCAACTATCGTTACCAGAGGAGCCACAAACAAAGACCATACAAAGATCAGAGGACTGTGAGCCAGTAGGCGCTCCAGGAGAAGTTAATTCGCAACCCAGGACCCACCAGTCTGGAGGCTGCAGTTTAAGAAATGACACATAGCCTTACAGGTCTAGAGTGCAGTTGCAACACACAAAACTCTATGTCTCTTTGTGATGATCCCCTTGTGTATAAACTAACGCAATCCAGCATATTTAGCCATACAGATTGCATAATCCCTAATATAATCTAAACCCAAAGTGATGGTTATTATGCCTGACTAGTCATATTATATCCATAATGCTTTCCCTTCAGTTATAGGAATATTCTTAGCTCTTCAGATGTACCTTGTCATGTGATGCTACCATGTATGCTTTTGCTTCTTCCTACATTATATATATATATTATATATATATATATAATGACACAGATGTATATTGGATGCATAAATACCAATAAAATCCAAATTGAAAAAAAATACCTTCTTAGAATTCAGAAGAAGGTATTTTTCCAGCCCCACTGAAGACAATACGGAAGGACCATGTGAAGTCCTATGGCCCTCTGCACGATGAATGCTATTGCTAGAGCAAAGGGGAATATAGGTGTCTCATAGAATACCTGTATACATGGGGTCAGAAGGGAAGGCGTTATGTTAACAGTATTCAAAAAGTTTCACTTCAAAAAGTGAATTTAAGCAAAGATTTAAGAGGGAAAATTATTAATTATATATCGCTGTCATCACTAAAGGCAAAAGGTGGTTGGGGAATTTGAATTTATTCTTCAAAATCTCTAAACAGATAGACTGTGTGTATGCTCTGGTGGTTAACGTAAGCATTTTCTACAGTCAGAGAGGCACTCTAAATTGGCTCTGAATATGATCAAGCACTTGAGATCTGTCCTTGCTACCGCTTTCCGAGATTTGTTTGTTCTCTGCCACAGCAAATCCTCTGTAATACACAAAACAGACTCAATCCATCTCCCCGGCACTTTCTGTGTTTGAAATGAGGCTCGCTGGAAGGAAATTTCATGGTTGGGTCTTGGATGTGCTGTCAAACAGGTTTAATTTCTCCAGCACCTGAGTTATTACTGCTTTAAATCACATTGTTTTAAACGATGCAAGCCAAGGGTTAATCAGTATAAAAGAAACAGCAGTGTTGATGCAGTGGATCGAACACTTTACTCATGAAATATGACAGACGTGATTTATTTCCCAAAGGAAGGATGGACGCCACAAAGGATTACAACTTCACTCTGAGGATAATTAGCAATTGGCCACACTTTATTATAATGCTATTAAATGGCTGTCAGGGGAAATGACAGGAGGGAAGAGGGGTACTTTATTATTTATGTGTCCATGTGGATCTGCAGTCATTCATTTAAAAGAAAAATTCTAAAACAGGAGGGCATCAAATAAAGTTGAAAACTGTCAGACTATGTGAGAAAATATTAAAAAATAAAACACCAGTGAGAAGAGATGTAGGGATACCTATAGATACGCGTATACACCAGATATTGTAGATATGATAAGATTCCTCTAAATCTTCATATAACAACTAAAAAAATATCTAAAATGATAAATCTGCATTCTTAATACCCAACAGGTAATCCTGATCCAACTATCTCCTCCGTAATTTATGGAATTGTGGGAAGACAACCTGGAGACGGTGTTTTCGGAGGAAAACTGGCTGAAGATGTACGCTTTACTTAAATGCTCCTCCATCAGTTCCACCATTCAAGAAAAAAATTATAAACTTATGTCATGGAGATACCGAACGACCAAGCTCTTCATGGATGTTCTTAGTACTTGCTGAAGGTGCAGCCAGGACACGGGCACAGTGCTCCACATCTGATGGGAATGCTAACAAATAAAACCCTTTTGGCGCCAGGTTCACGAGAGGATGATCTCAATAGTGGGAGAAAATGCTCAGTTCACACCTGGTTAAACATATTCCACTCCCAATTTCTAAATGTAAAAAATTCCTCATGAGGCACTTTCTCAATGTGGTAAGAGTGTTTATCCCTGCTTTCTGGAAACAAATGACCCCGCCAAGCTTAGTGCAATGGTTTGCTAAAATGCAAAAGATTAGAAACATGGATGCTATAACGGCAGCTCTTTAGTGTTGTGAAGAGAAATTCCCTGATATATCGCGTTGTTGGCTAGACTTTGTTGCTCATCAGGGGTAGAGTTGAACCTTTTACTGATTCCTTTTGACACATTGCAAATCTAGGTGGCCAGGTAATTTGCAGCTTCGATAGGGTTGGGCTGGAGTCGTACCTTTTCCCTGTCTCCTATTTTTTCTTTTATCTTTTTCCTGACTTCATTTGCTTGTGTTCCCCAATAAACTAAATTGGAGTAAGTTCAGGAGGCCAGGTGATGACTTCCCATATCTCAGGGTGTAGGTTTCGAGGGTGTTATATGCCGTTACTGTAAGGGCCTCATGTCCATTCAACTTTACTAGTATATAAATAAACTTTAACGCTGCTGTAGTCTTCTGTGGTCCTTTTCAGGCACGTTAGAGGTTTCCTTGCATTCTTGTACACTTCCGAGCTCCAGTGTCATAAGAGAGTTTTCATGGATCTATGAATATTGCTAACATTAGGTTTGATGGTGCTATGTCCCAGTAGCTTTTGTGCACTCTGTACCATTTTGTTTTGATGTATGTACTGTTCGATCCTGCTATATTCAGCTGTATCACTGTACCTTTCTCTTTTCAAAAAACTTCGAAATCAATAAAGATTATTTAAAAAAAAACATAAAAAAACAAACAGGATATTTTGCTTATAGCTATAAAGAATGTTAGGGAAGTGATTTAGTGATAGTAACTAACAAACAGCAACTGTTTGATAACCACTATAAATTGTGTCAGTAAGTTAATAGGAATGCAACCCACACATTTACAAACCATGCTTTTCGAATTTTAGCGATAAGCAGTCTGTCACGTGGTGTAACCCCAACACACAGTGTCTAGGATAGCAGTAACAAACTGGACTGAAATAAACATATTACCAGGCTGTAGAGTGGTCAGACTTAATTTAAGAGAGAGGAAACGTGGTTAAATATAAGCCTAGTTTAGGATAACAGAGAGACAGCAAAAATGAGAAGTAGGCAGAGTCAGGTAAACAATATATCAATAGAACAGGAAAACAAGAGAGAAACGAGTTGAAGAGAATTCAGGGTCAGGAACAAAGCCAAGGACAATAACAGAAATATCACAATGTAACAAGGAACGCTTTAACGAGTACTGAGAATAGAAACCACAACAGGGCACAGTAAATATCACCAGAGGAGTTGAAATACTATTATGTGTTAATTGACTTAGTGGACCAAATAGAGCCAGAAGAATTGTTATGCCCCCATTGCCTCTTAAAGAACGTGCTACTATCATGAGCAGTATTCTCCTCACTGGAATTCGGGCTACGTGAAACGGTTATTGTCGTTCAGCACAAACGGCCCATTCGTAGGTTTTAGATCAGCTTGGGAACCAGGTAAGTATTGTTACAAAGACAAAATTTAATGTGTAAGTACTAAAGAGTCTTCTGTCATCAAACACAATATGAGTTGGTGTTCCCCCAGGGCTCTGTTTTCTTGTTAACTTTGTTAAAAAATTTTCGACAATACTCAGATTTACTTCTCCTCCTCTGACCTCTCTCCTGGAACACGTCACAAATTTCTAATTTTACAGACTAACTTGATTTTTTTCTGTTATCTAAAGCGGAATCTTTCTAAAATTGAACACCTATTTTCCAGTGAAATAGCCCTGTTCCATCTATCTCCTGCACACCAATGTACCTCAAGCCCGCTGCCTTGGACTCAGGTCTTACCTTCTCTCCTCATATCCAATCAGACTCCAAATCCTGTAACTTCCATCTTAAAATACTGCCCATATTCACCCTTTTCTAACTCAAGATACAGCTAACGCACTTGTTCATGAACTTATCATTTCCTGACTTGACTACTGCATCTCACTCGTTGGCCTCCCAAAAACCCACACTGTCCCTAAGACTGTAATGAATGCTGCTGGCAGGCTCGCCTTCCTGACTGACTACTACTCCCACACCTGGCCCCTTTGTCAATCATTACATTGGCTTTCTTTACCCTTCAGTATCAAATTCAAACTGCTTACATTTACCTATAAAGCTCTTAAAGGGACACTATAGTCACCAGAACAACTATAGCTTATTGAATTTGTTTTGGTGAGTAGAATCATTACCTTCAGGCTTTTTGCTGTAAACACTGTCTTTTCAGAGAAAATGCAGTGTTTACATTACAGCCTAGTGATACCATACTGGCCACTCCTCAGATAGCTGTTAGAGATCATTCCTGAGTCATGGCTGCCTAAAATGCATTCAAACATTCAGTATCTCCTCCCTCTGCATGCAGACACAACTTTCCTCATAGAGATTCATTGATTCAATTCATCTCTATGAGGAGATGCTGATTGGCCAGGGCTGTGTTTGAATCATGCTGGCTCTGCCCCTGATCTGCCTCTTTGTCAGTCTCAGTCAATCCTATGGGGAAGCACTGTGATTGGATCAGGCCACCACTTCTGATGATGTCAGCAGACTGCTTGTTTTTTTTTTTAGACAAACAGCATGCAGATCTACAGTTTCTGGATTGAATACAGTAAGATTTTGCTATATTTATGGAGGCATGAGGGGCCCAGGGGGGCTACATGGTGGTGTTCACACCATAGGGTCAGGAATACATGTTTGTGTTCCTGACCCTATAGTGATCCTTTAATAGCTCCACTCCTCATTCTATTTACTCTTTATTCCCCAAATACATGCCTTCTCGTTGCCTTCACTGTGCTAGCGACCTTCTTTTTACATCTGCTTGCTCCACACTGCCAACTCTCATTTGCACGGTTTTTCAAGGGCTTCTCTGTCCTTTATAGGTCACTACCCAGTGCAATCAGACTCTATCCTAGCCTCCAGTCCTTTATCCTCCAGAAATAATTGAAGACAACTCTTTAGTAAATTCTACCATCTTCCTTGGTGATGCTCCTCTTATAACAATTGCATCACCTCCATGGATCACTTGCCATCCTTTTACGGTTCAGTTCTTCCACACACCATTTTGACTAGCTTATTTCAATAAAGGCATCCTATCCATTAATCCCTCCTTCACTCTCTTGTGTCAATACCAGGGCTTGACAAATTTGCTTTGAATCTAGGAGCCAGCTTAAAAAAGTTAGGAGTCAGGTTTTTTAAACTAAGAAAGCTTTGTTTTCAAAGACAAAAATACAATTCTTAAAGGAACACTATGGTCACGAGACCCACTACATACAGCTTAGAGAAAAGGCAGTGCTTAGCAACACCTCTAGTGACAGTCACTCAGAACACAGGAGGTGCTTCCTAGTTCAGTGCTGCACAGTGTGCAGTACCTACATTCAACTTTACGTGCTTTGCATGCTCCTATGGGAAAGCATTGGATTGGCTGAGATCATCGAGACTGATTATCTCAGCCATGGAGGCGAAGCCAGTCGTGGTGAGACTGTCACGGTGCGGGGAAAAAGATGAGTAAAAACACCTATGCCAATGGTTGGGGGCCATTCACCTAAACAGACACACACAATCACTGACTGACAGATATACACTCACTGATTTGACACACATTGACAGACACACATTTTATTTTAATTTAGGTCCACCCAGCCTCCCTACCTTTGGGAAAGCTCTTACCTTCAAACTCTTCTTGATTTGCTCGCTCGTGCACCATTTAGTGATGCTGGGGCCAGAGTGATGTCATATCCCATCTCCAGGCATTACAGCAGGAAGCGCAAGGGAGCAGAGCAAGAAGAGCCAGAATATGACAGCTCCCTCGGCGTAACCTTCATTCTCCCTCAGCCGACAAATACCCTGGTGTCAAACAAAATTCCTAGACGCCATGGTGACCTTCGATTTGTCGTGCCCTGGCTTATACCCCTTTCTCATAGATTGTAAACTCATCAGAGCAGGGCCTTCTTCACCTTTTGTTTCTGTTAATGTTTTGTATGCCAACTACTTGTCAATTATAGCCATTTTATGATTGTATAGCGCTGCAAACTATGTTGGTTATATATAAATAATGATAATAACAAGGTTGAGAAGGGGATAATAGGAATAGTAGTAGCTGGAAAAAAAAACACAATTCTGGTGACAATTTACCCTCCCCATCACTGCAGAAACGCAAGAAAGAAGGTATTTTCCTCAGTGATAGTTGGATAAGCTACCTAACGAATTTCCCTGGAGAGCATTTACAATGAATGAGCTATCTTGAAATCTATGCAAATACAGCTTTTCCAGGAACATAATTGAACATACTTCATATGCATATACAGACTTCATATGACTACAAATACAACACGCTAAGATCAAAGATACAGGAAGCACCACGACTGAGGGGGTAATATTTCAGTCTTATAGGTAATATTTATCGACATGTTAATGGGTGTCAATGAGACGTTAACCTGTTGTGACAGGTCCACGTTAACTGAAATGCATTGTTTTGAAATATGTTTATACATTGGTCTGGATTACTGCTATGACTGCACAACTCTTTGTAATAAAATATCACTTTTTATAGAAAAAAAAAAATGAATGTATACTTTATCATAATGATAAATCACATATTCAAAACTAATAGAATTAACAACTTACCCTCAATGCAGTAAGTTCTCCTCCCTAGTTCTGCGGTTGATAAACTTTCAGGTCCTGCCTGTTGTGTTGCTCTGGGAGACTTCCAAAATCAGGGAAAGCTTCCTCATTAATGTTGACTCATAGGCTTCATTGCCAGTACACCAATTTTGAACAGGGTCACATTAGTACAAAAAGCATTGGTTAAGGTGTAACCATAGCAAATCCAGTGCATGTGCTGTGCTTTCTGTGCCATAGAGCAGGAGAACTATCTGTAGGTGGGTTCTCCTGCTTTCTACTGTCAGTCAGTTCTTTGATGTAGGAGTCTATCCAGAAGTAATGATTTAAGATGGGAAAAGGACTTGTCCATAATTTATTTTTAATTTATTTTTTTTTGTGCGAAAGCATACCAATACAACATTATAGACAGAATCACAGAGTATCAAAATAAAGAAGACATGAAGAATGTTGTGTCATTCATATAATTATGCATCTGCACAATTTTATAAATTGATGGTAGTCGAGTAGACAGTCGTGTGTCCTACGTCAAGATCCATCTAAGAGGCCCCTAGTTTGGTCATAAAGTATGTAAATATGATAAGCAAACATCCAGTGAGGACAGACAGAAAAAAGTACACTAATAAGAAACCAAAAGAAAAAGCTATGTCAAAAACAAAAACTATCAAAGGATTACATCATATAGATGTGGTGCCAAGTTAAAGCTCAAGACCCAGCTCAGTCAATGCAATCCACAAATAAATTGCAGGAAATTGCTCCCAGTTGGACCAGCCGGTGTCAGAATCAGATAAGGTGCTCTCCCAAAATGCGTCTGTCCACCATAACTCTCAAGCCCCTCCCCCCCAATCTATACATTCACTAGAAATTTTGCCAAGCCATTGTAATGTTGAATTTAAATGTATAAATCCCCACCTCCCTTGAGCACACCCTCAGCATGTAAAGGGTTAAGAAAAAAACGTTTTTACTCACCCAATTCCAGCGCAGATACCCTCGGCGTTGGGTTGGTGCACCACCTCCTCCGAAGTCATTCAGCAGGGGATCCTAATGCGCATGCGCAACATTGCCTCAATACTTTCCTCTGGGGATTTCACTGATGCTGGACATCCTCATGCAGAATGTGAGGACGTCCGGTGTCATTTAGTTAACCCGGAGTCCATTAGCATCCAGTTAGTGCCTCTGATTGACAGCCACTAGAGACAGTCTGAGTCCTGCAAGGTAATTATTGCAGTTTCTCTAAAACTTTAATGAGATGAAGTGATCTGGGTGACTATAGTGTCCCTTTAACTAATAACCCACAAGTTAGGCATGATTTTAAGCCAACAACATTTTCTGACTTTTGGCGGAACATCGGCAGTAGAATGGAATTGTGGATTGTGCTTCGTAGCCGAAAGTCAAAATCGTTATATCATAATGATTTCATTCATATCGATAAATATTACCTATAATTAGTGACCAACTGTGGATTGAGCACTGACTCAAATAATTTCATATCAAATAAAGACAAACACTTTAAAAAAAAAAAACCACAATCCTACTTTGTCTGTGTCCATAATACGCTGCCTTTGGCAGAGAACTGGACTGGTGCAATAGTGCTCTTAAAGGGCTACTTCTTTTGCCATAGTACTTCTGATGCTAGGAGTACCCTGGCCCCATTGCTTGGTAGTGGGTTAAACCGCTCCTGGGTCCTGCAGGGCTCTAAGGGTCCTCCAGTGGACTGTAATGTGCATCCAAATTCTGCAGAGCAGTAGACGCAAAATGCTATTCCTGCAGGTGTTCATTGACAGATAGGAATATGCACAGAATGGACATTAGCCAGCCCAGAACTCTAGGTCTAGGCTGGCTAATGACGCCCCAGTGACGTTGCCAGAGGGTGAGTTACACCTCTGGCAGCAAAGAGGTAAAACTCTGTATGTCTAGCATTTCATAGTGAAACACTGGACATACAGACTCCAGGTACCATGACTACTTCAAATCACTGTAGTGGACGTGGTGCTTGAAGTAACGCTTTAAGTATTAAAAGATGAGCTATGTTGCATTCTGGTTGCCTGTCATTTAGTGACAGTAAAGCTATACCTTTGAATTCACAAACTGAACCAAGAATAATGGTTTGCTCTGATACCTGTCATAGAGAATGTATTACATGTGGAACCCTCAAGGATCTGCGTAGGGAGCAGTTATTGGACAAGTCAGCTGAAACTGGAGCAATTAGCAGCAATAGTTCAAGTTACCATGGCGTTTGCTTTAGTTTTTTAACACGCACACAGACCTGCTCTATATACATAACTCATGTTGTTTTATACTGTTGGGGATTGCAGGAGGAATATTGAGTCTGTGTAACAGAGATGGACGACAGATCACAAGGTGATGCAAAACCATTCAAATGGACAAATGGGGTGTGAGTGGGGGTATGGCCAGATTCATTGGTATTCTGGGAAATAACAATGCAACTTAATTGTAATTTAGAACAAGAACAATGTATCTTATTTACACAGACTGATTTCTAAACACATGTATTGTAGTTTAAAGATACATTACTGGGAGTATTATTGTTGTCAGGCTCTGTTATATATTCAAAACACAACAAGTTGGAGTTACTAGAAAAGAGGGACAATATGATAGAAAAGAGGGACAGATGGATTTGGGTCCAAAAGAGTGACTGTCCCTCCTAAATAGGGACACTTGGGAGGTATGTGCAAAACTTCAATTCCCTGGTGGTTTTTAGCTGCTGGGGAACCTACTAGATGGTCAAACTAGACTCTAAAATGTGTCAAAGACTGACTTCAACCCTATCTCCATAACAGACCTACTACCATAGATTATATGCTCATCTGATCAGGCCTTTCCTTACCTCGCTCTCTAATTGAAAGCATTGTAAAATATGTTGGCACCATATAACTATTAATACTACTACTACTAATAGTGTCTGGAAACCTTGTCATATATTAATGACCCCTTTTTGTGATAAGATGCAAGCACAGAGTCATTTTCCTTATATACCATGATGTGTCTCTACTGTGAACCATGGTGTAGTCGATAAGAAAAATATTTGAAGATCTCAAAATAAAATGACATCATAAAGTAAATGGGTGAAAATCTTGCTCAGAACAAAAAAATGCAGAAAATGTATTTTTCCTAGGCAGTAGGCAGTGTTATTCCACCCCCCCATCCCCCTCCTTTTTGGCAATAGGGCATGCCCTCATGAGCAAAAAGGCTGCATCGTGTGAATTCCCATGCATGCAAAAATGCCAGAAAACGTGCAATTGATCCTATAATGTGTATGCTCTCATTTACTCTCATTTATGTAATATTTGTAAAAATGATTTGTTAAAATTGAATTAGCGTAAGAGGAAGAAATTGTACATTCTAATCATGCTTAAGTTAGTTGCCCTCCACCATTTGTTCAGAGCTTATTCCTGAAAATATTCTCTTGGGAAATGTAATTATTTCCCTGTTTCTTAAAAGCATTTTACATTCTTGCAAAAAGTACATTGTTTTTTCGCTAAAGTGTAAATTGCTGAGAAATTAAAGTTCATTTAAAATTTTAGGCTAATATAGCCAAAAGTGGAAAAACTCTCAAAGTCGGCTATGAGTTCAGTTTGTCTGTATTGGGTGAAAAATAAATGTCACTTTGAATTCCTGACAATGCATACTTTCGGTGAATAACCGTATAAAGGGAAAGAGATGGCGAATGAGGGTATGTAGGGTATAGTTTACCTCAAATCACCAAACAAACAAAAAAAACATTTCAAGAGAGTTATTGATATTCACCCTAGGCAGAGTTAATATGCTATTAAATATAAACAGAAGAAATGAATATGTGATAAATAATGAATTGGTTTCATTATTTCCATCTTGCCAATGAGTCCTGCAGGGTTCCAGCAGGGGGCAGTTTGGTGTAATGTCAGGGTGTCCAGGGGAGGCCCCTATTGACACCATCCCAGAATTCTTGGCTTTTCGTACAAAGTGCAGGTACATGGAGGGAAGATGGTTTTGTATCTCCCCGACAGCACATGGATATGAGAATACTTTAATTATTCCCACCACAGCTTGTACCCCTCGCAGGCAGACACTGTCCCAGTACTATTATGCAGTGAACCCAAGAGGGCTGCACTCAGATGCATACTTGTAAGGGTGCTGCTATAGCCAGTTTACACAACATACAAAATCCAGCGCACTTGCTCATTCACTAAATAGCAATTTCAAGTCTCCCAGAATGTAATAGTTTTATTTCAAAATACCTTACCTAAGCAAAAAATAATGGGGTTTTAGTTACAGTTTATGATCACACATTGCATAAGCCTGCCACAATGTCAATGTATCCCATTCTTAGCAGGCACTACTCTAGCAGCCCAATGCTTGCCCTTATATCATTAGTTTATGAAATTGAAATTGCTGTTTAGTGAATGAGCAAGTGCCGAGGATTTTGTATTTTGTGTGTAGTACTATTATGCAAAGCCTGTATCCCACCTATTGCAATGTGAGAGAAAATGTAATGATCCAGACTCGGCATGACATGATCACACATATAGGGTCCGCATCCTTCCCATCATAACTATAATTATACAAGACCCACGGCCCTTATCAATCAACTCCCAGAGTGAAGCAGTTACAATTTAAACCACATGTATCCCTACCATAGCAGGTTGTCAGTGACACTATTAATATCCCTTCAAAGCATGACTAGTTACATTTTGAAAGAAAAACACGTTTTAGTGGAGGAAGCATAGACTTGTGATATAATAGTTGAGTGTCCTAATTTACTCCCTATGTGAGCAGCAGAAGTTATCCTTTCCCCGTTCATTCTGGATCTGAAAGGGTTTACACTGGTCTTTTCTGCCAGCCATTCTCGGTAATATATCCTGACACAGCAGGTCTCAGAATTATTTTTAATGCATGCATTCTTGTTCCTTCCTTCCTCTCCTGCCCACAGCTGGGCCTTGTTATCCAGAGGGGTCCCCCCCAGGCAGCAATCCCTGAGTATCTGAGTGTCACACAGGGGAAGATTGACATTTCTGAATGGAGAGGAGAGCAGATGATTAGTGCTGTGTTCAGACAGCAGGATAATAGCCAGCATCTGCCACACAACAGCAGCAATATTGCATCATGGCAAAAGCACACGGCCGCACATTCTATTGTCGATCGCGAAGATTGCTGATAAAGGGACTAATGTGACCTCAAATACCTTCCCGTGATTGCTAAACTAATGTGCTGCTTTAACAATTTACAAAGATTTCCCTGAAAAGGTAAAATGTTCTGAATGTCCCGCCCCAGGTAGTGTTAGCAGGCTGTGTGTAAGTTAAAGCGGTGGAATGCGCAGGGAGAGAGGTCTGCAGGAATGTCAGGGAGTTGCATCCTCCTGCTACTGCTGCCTTCCCCAGGAAGAGTAGTTGGAAACGGCTGTCAGGCTGCTAATATTCTGGATAGACACTTCCTTCCCTTGTGCGAGTGAGAAGGTGTTTATAGGAATCGATTGTTAAAGACATGCTAGATGGCTGTAATATAACAATAGCAAGGTATTTAGCCCAGGAGACATTAAGCTTTCACTCCCTGGTCTCTAGGCACTGGTTTTAATACCCAGCTCAGTTGGTAATAATTTTATTGACCCAATAACGAAGAAGAGCCAGTTGACCCGAATGGGAATAAAAATAAAATAGAAAAACAGAATGACACTGGAGAAACCAACAGCCGGAGGAAAACATAATAATATGCACATTGCAGGTTCTGTATGAAAAGCAATTATGGGGCAAAGTTGTAGTTATGGAGCAATCACCATGGAAACCAATGAGATGTTTTCTGATGACTGTCCTACTTTTAGTACGTGCTGTGGAATGGGGGCTTCATACACGCTGTGTGAAACATGGTAAAATCTACATGTATAATTCAAAGAAAAATGTAAACGCTGGGTTTATCTACTTAATGATACGTTCAGCTCCCAGTCTTTTATATTGGTTTTAATTTTGCAGACCCGTTCTGAACAGAGGTAGGCATATTGCAGCACTCCAGTTGTTGTGGACTACATCTCCCATAATGCTCTTAAAGCATCAGGTGATATAGAGAATGCAACATCTGGAGTCCGGTGGTCGCCTACCCATAGTCTAGGGCAGGAATGCCCAAAAGGTAGATCCCCAGATATTTTAAAACTACAACTTCCATGATACTTTGTCATTCTAAAGACATGTAGAGGCATGCAAAGCATCATGGGAGTTGTAGTTCTGCAATATCTGGGCATTAACCCCTGGTCTAAGGAATAAATTGGGACAGCTATAGAGGGTCTACAAAAATCTATTATGATTGAGTTGATAGACACATGAGGGGAAAAGTGAGTAATAGTCATATAACCAAACAAATCGTCCACAACATATCAAAAATTATACAAACACGTAAGGGTTTAGTCACTAAACAGCGAACTGCAGTGTACTGAAAATCAAATGACGACATTCAGACTGAAGTGGCCAAGCTCTAACGGTAACGGAGTTGGACAATTATCTCTAAGACCTAAATTTTGTTATCCGGTATACAACTCGCCAACACTCCCTGTTTAGCAAAAGAAACCTTGAGATTTTTTCCCCTGAGATTATGTCCTACACTAAAACAAGGCAAACCTCTCCATAATACAAGAAATGTGTATCTTAAATCAAAGTGCAGCTATTATTGTAAATGATCTTTTATATGTCGAATGTTAAACACATACTATACTTTCTCATCACTGGCTTACATATTGTACGTTAAGCAGGTATTAGACTTGTTCGACAGCTGACTTATTCACTTATTAACAAATTGAGGTAAATTAAAACCTAAATTATCATATGTTTAAGCAGAAATATTTAAAATGGTAATACTTATTAAATTCTTAATATATTTTTTTTTGTTTAACTATGTTGTTTGGCCTAATTATTTTCAAATTCGGTTTTCTACATAAATAATTAAGTTTTCTATATAAACCTTTCAAACGACATATTTAAAAACGAGGGCAATCTAACTTTATCCTTCTTCGTAAAACACTACAAATACATAAATATCCTACATGTCATATTGAGTCTAATACAATCAAAATATAATCCCTCAGAATATGCTTGCCAAAAAACATCAACATTTTTTGTCATTAAGAAAAACTTATTTTTAGAGCAGACATGTTAATTCTTAAACCATTTAAAATAAAAATAAAAATTATTTTGCAATGGTTGAAGTTTCAGAATTTTTATTTTTTTAGGGGTGGTATAATTAAGAATTATTACTGCAATGTTGAAAAAGGTTTATAAATAGATGAGGCAGGATTTAATTATTGTTGCTATAGTAACTACAATTTAACTAATTCCTTAAAAGCATGGGTTGAAAATGTAAATATAAATGCAGCAAAGGTTTCACACTAGGCCTGTGACGGTCAAACCTTGTTCTTCGCAGCCTCAATAATGGTTAAGCATTTTAAAAAAACACAGTTCACAATGATCTAACAAAGTAAGCCAGCTCTGCATCACAGGGCTCTCTGTGTGATAATTTGGGTGGGGAATAAACGCTGTAATGTAGTAAGCCCAATTCTACGCAATGCACTGATGCCTGGGCAGTATCGACAGTAATATCTACAAAATACTGTATTAGTAAACATGGTTATATTGCAGATAAAGAGTAAACCTATAACTAATGAAACCAATCCACAGTTTTGCTATGGTGAGAATTCAAAGGGAATTTTAAACTCGAGACCAAAATAGACGAACTGGAGAAATTCTCTAAATCAGCTATAATTCCAGCTTGGCTACTTTGGCCTAACACTTAGAATTCACTTTAAACGCTCTCTTTAATTAATATCCCTGAACTGAATAACCACATAAAGAAAATGTTATTAACTACGCATCAGCAGGACCCCCTGAAACCCTCAAGGAATTCTACAAGATGTGCTCAATACTGCTATAAATCTCAACAGGTTATTTTTATTTTTTTTGGGGGGGGGAATGCTGGGATTGAAGGGCAGGAAAAATAAGTCTTTTAGTCTTTGAGACAAATAAAACTTAATGCAATCTCTCCCTCCATCTGCCATCCGGAGCGTTGTATAAACAATCCATTGTATCTAGAGAAAGAGGTTGAGGAAGTTCTGCTACTTTTTATACATGTTATGGAGCATGCGGAAGCATGCAGGTCCACAGACCGTGAACATACTGTGAGGTTTAAAAGATTGTACATAGGAAGAAGGGATCTGTGTTATTTTGGGTAGGTCTGTACATGAAGCAATGGGTTAGTTTAGGGAAGAGATAGATAGATAGATTAGAGGCGCTTAAGACACAAAAGAAGAGACTAAGGTGTGGGAAGCTTTGTACATATGAAGAAGGGATTATGGGGAACCTTACACAGGAAGAGCAGACAGGTAAGGTTTGGGCAGCTTTGCATATATGAAGAAATGAGGGTTTACGTTAGAGAAGCTCTGTGTATATGAAGAAGTTAATCTGGTGGAGCTCTGTGCATATGATGAAATGATGGGTTAGGTTAAGAAAGCTCTGTGCATATGATGAAATGATGGATTAGGTTTGGGGAGCTCTGTTTGCATGAATGAGTGATGGATTAGGTTTAAGAAGCTCTGTTTGTATGAAGAAGTGATGGGTTAGGTTTGGGAAGCTTAGTTTGTATACAGAAGTGATGGGTTAGGCTTGGGAAGCTTAGTTTGTATACAGAAGTGGTGGGTTAGGTTTGGGAAGCTCTGTTTGTATGGAGAGGTTATGGGTTAGGTTTAGGAAGCTCTGTTTGTATGGAGAAGTTATGGGTTAGGTTTAGGAAGCTCTGTTTGTATGGAGAAGTTAAGGTTTAGGTTTAGGAAGCTCTGTTTGTATGAATAAGTGATGGATTAGGTTTAAGAAGCTCTGTTTGTATGAAGAAGTGATGGGTTAGGTTTGGGAAGCTCTGTTTGTATGAAGAAGTGATGGATTAGGTTTAGGAAGCTCTGTTTGTATGGAGAGGTTATGGGTTAGGTTTAGGAAGCTCTGTTTGTATGGAGAAGTTATGGGTTAGGTTTAGGAAGCTCTGTTTGTATGAATAAGTGATGGATTAGGTTTAAGAAGCTCTGTTTGTATGAAGAAGTGATGGATTAGGTTTAGGAAGCTCTGTTTGTATGAAGAGGTTATGGGTTAGGTTTAGGAAGCTCTGTTTGTACGAAGAAGTGATGGATTAGGTTTAGGAAGCTCTGTTTGTAGGAAGAAGTGATGGGTTATGTTTGGTGAGCTCTGTTTGTATGAAGAAGTGATGGGTTAGGGTCGAGAAGCTCTGTTTGTATGAAGAAGTAATGGGTTAGGTTTAGGAAGCTCTCTTTGTATGAAGAAGTGATGGGTTAGGTTTAGGAAGCTCTGTTTGTATGAAGAAGTAATGGGTTAGGTTTAGGAAGCTTTCTTTGTATGAAGAAGTGATGGGTTAGGTTTGGGAAGCTCTGTTTGTATGGAGAAGTGATGGGTTAGGGCTGAGAAGCTCTGTTTGTATGAAGAAGTGATGGATTAGGTTTAGGAAGCTCTGTTTGTATGAAGAAGTGATGGATTAGGTTTAGGAAGCTCTGTTTGTATGAAGAAGTGATGGGTTATGTTTGGTGAGCTCTGTTTGTATGAAGAAGTGATGGGTTAGGGTCGAGAAGCTCTGTTTGTATGAAGAAGTAATGGGTTAGGTTTAGGAAGCTTTCTTTGTATGAAGAAGTGATGGGTTAGGTTTGGGAAGCTCTGTTTGTATGGAGAAGTGATGGGTTAGGGCTGAGAAGCTCTGTTTGTATGAAGAAGTGATGGGTTAGGTTTAGGAAGCTCTGTTTGTATGAATAAGTGATGGGTTAGGTTTGGGGAGCTCTGTTTGTATGGAGAAGTTATGGGTTAGGTTTGGGGAGCTCTGTTTGTATGAAGTGATATGTTAGGTTTGTTAAGCTCTGTTTGTATGAAGAAGTGATATGTTAGGTTTGTTAAGCTCTGTCTGTATGAAGAAGTGATGGGTTACGTTTGGGAAGCTCTGTTTGTATGAAGACGCCATGGGTTGAGTTAATATAGGAAGGCGAGTTAAATGTGTAAGCTCTGTACACGAGGATGCAAGCTACAGCATTTGTGAAGCTCTGTGCATTGGAAAGAGAAGAATATATGGTTAGTGGAGATGTATACATATGAAGATGTTGATTGGATTTGAGAAGCTCTGTACGTATTACAAAGATTAGTTTGGGGGGAGCTCAGGATACCAGAAGATGTGATCATCATATGTGGAAATCAAGCAAGCATTTGCCGACATGGATGGCACCTGTGCGGAGGGTGAGATGTGCTGCAATGCTGGAAGAGTTAATCATTATGCTTTAACAATAAAGTCTTGACAAAACATTTGGCACAGAACCCATAATCAAAGGAAGCTTCTCTGCCAGTCACCCGCCATAAACCCAGACAGTGGGTATTAGAAAATGGATGCCTGTCTGGTTCAAGGTTCTCTGCTAATAGTGGTTGGTTGGTTATTCATTCACTGGACCTTGTTAATCAGACCCCAGGAGAATTTTGCCACTTAACTCTTTACAGCCAATAAGGCATTTTTTAAAGATAGACAGCTCTCCATAAAGGACATAAGCAGCACCACAGTGCTAAACCTCATATTAGTATTGAATGTAAATCTCAACTCTCTTGCAAAGGGTTAAAAATCAAGAAATGTGAGCAAGGCAATACCTTGAACACCTCTGGCATTGAATAGGTTAATCTGAAGCCTGTGTGGCTCAGCAGAGGGAAGTTCTCACTTCAGCCAGGAATACTCTGTGTCCGCCCAGCTTCGCTCGGCATAGGGGCTCCTCAGAGAGCATTTCTGGATCACAGCGAAGATTTCACAATCACAGCACTGCTCCCCCCCACAAGTCTTCCTATATTATCATTACAGACAGCAGGGAGAGAAGGGAGGGGGGTTCTAATTAAGAAAAACAGTGTCTTCCCACCCACAACACCCAGTGTAACCCTTTCCCAAACAAACCGTATAATGGCTCTCTAACCAGCCTCTTTAATAGGTTGCATACTCTGTACTGCTATATAAAGTATGCTAGTGCAAGATTCAATAAACCAACAGGTTTTGGCTTATCATTCAGACCGGAGGATAAATGATAGTGATACAGCATCATTACTTTGTAAAAGCCACTGAGCATGGTCAACCTGGCTTTAGGGCGTAAAACTGTATTCATTTTATCGATTCACATTACATGGAAATCTCAGATAGCTTGCATGCTTTTTCCAGTGGTTTTAACACAATCAAAAAAATAAAAGTAACTTGGCAAATGCTTTGTGTAATTAAAAAGTAATAACTGTTTTGCCAGTAAAAAATATTTCCTTTTAAAGGGTTTATTCAATATTAAAGCCACATGAAGCACATTAAATAAACACTTTAAATTTCCCGCAGAGTGAACGGCTACATAAAATGTACTAGCTTAGGAGAAGATAACAGGTAGTTTTACAGCTCCTGTAGCACTGCAACTCCTATAATGCTTTGCAAGGTTTTAGCCACATTGGGATCCTTCCTCCTCCCAAAAAAAACACAAAACATACAGAGCTACAGAATTTGTTGGCGCTTTATAAATCAAATAATAATAATAATTAAGATCTATATAGAGACCTTTATTAGAAGGCTACCTTAGCCCCAACCCCAAAGGGAAAGGTTTTGGAAGTCAGACTTACTGCGTCCCTTCTGCTTGATTTCCTGAATGACTGAGGTATAGTTGGTGAGTTCTCGATCTTTAAACTGCATATCCAGCACGGTCAAGTTGTTAAATTTGGGTAACTCCATGTAAACTCCTTCCATTGTGAAATAACAGGGACGGTCATCCTCCTTGTCATCTGTATAGACAACCATTGCCCTGCTGGTCCAGTTGAAAAGTTGGTGGATCTGCACCACAAACTGTCCCAGCTTGGTATGGACTGGTCCTGTCCTTGTGGTAAACTTATTGTCCTCAACTTTCTCACCAAACCCGTAGGCAGCAGCTCCCGCTGTGACAAGGGGGACCTTCCAGTGTCCAGTAAACCGACCGACGGGAGCTGCTGAGTACATGCACCCAGGGCCTAAGAACACCTCAGGATGGTAGGTGAACTGGAGGTCCACTGCAACAAGTGGAGCTGAGGAGTCCGAGCACTTTCCTTGCTTGTTCTCACTGTTTCCAAGGATGTATTGGACATGTAGGTCTGGTAGAAGATATGGGTCATTGTTGATCTTGTCTACTGCCAATTTGATAGCTGGACCCACTCTCAGCCAAGCCCATGGGTACGCGGTGTTCTTTTCCGGAAGCACCACTGCCATAGTGAGGTTGACCTGTTCCTTGTCTCCTCTGACTACCCGAAGACTCACCCATGCTACCAGCAGCGTCAGCACCAAACTTCCAAACATTGCAGCCAATTTCAGAGGACCTTCATACTCTTGCCACCAGCATACCTACAAGAAAACCAACTCTACCTCCGTAAACAAGACGGAGGTCTTTTGCACCCTCCTCTTCAAGAGCTTGTTCCTCCCTCACCCTTCTGGTGCTGGGGACTTGACTCAGATGCTCCTAGTTGTGACAGTTCTTATTAAAACATATACAGTCAGCTGTTAATCATCTCTCCGTCTGTGTGTGAGAGAGCGAGCTTTACACAGATCCATTAGCTTCCCGCTGTTGGAAGTGACTGGAGAACAGGATTGGTATCATCTGGAGGCAGGGTTAGCTTTTCCTTCCCCTGACTCAATGACAAAAGGGTTGTTATCATAAGCCCTGCTTATTAACCCTTTCCTTCCTCAATATCAGTTAGTGGAGTAATGACCATGGCAGACAGTATTCCATAACGCCCAGGGACTGTATCTTCTTAAAGCCTCTCTAGATCCATTGGGGCAGTTTGTGGGGAGATGTGTTCACGCCAACCCAGAAAGTTGGAGGGCTCCCAGAGTTTACTGGAGAGCAAGCCCCAGATATTTGCCTTATCCAAAGCAACAAATATTTATCCAGTTACTGTGGAAATTGGTGTGTGCCAGGAAATTAGAAAAAAAATGTAAATAAATCATTAGAAAACTCTGAAAGCTGGATTCTGAGGAGGACAGGAGTTGGTATTTAGTAGCAAAGGTAAAGGTATGGAGAGAACAAGGTATTTAGAACCAGGGAAAAGAATCAGGGAGCTCAGTGTGTGAAGCAGGTGGAGAGAGGGGAGGAGGGTTAGAAGTGACAGGGTAGAAAAGAAGGAGAAAAATAAAATAAGTGAATTAACACAATTAGGAATGTGACAAGCAGCAGAGGTAGACATTGATTTAATATGGAAAGTACAAGGTGAAGGATGGGATGGATATATGTATAAGCAGAAAGATGTGCAGGTAGAAAGTAGGGGAAAAACATGAAAAAACAAGCCCAAAACCAGAATGTTAATAGTGACTGGAGAGGGCAGAGAGAGTATTCAGAAATGTGCAGAATGGCAAAGAGCGCAGTGTGTGAACATGCTGATGGTATGATGCACAGGAGACGGCTGAGTGCATTTAACTCACGGATTGCTGTATATCAGTGTGTGCATATCATGTATATCATGACTGCATGTGTGTGAAGCTCCATGCATATTACGCAGACAGCTCCTATTTAACACCTTACTTAGTGCCCCTCGATACCCCTAAAACCATAAAATAATTTGTAAAGTTATAGATAGCATCTTACACCATTTGTTATGTGATTTGCTATTTAAATATAATGCTATGCAGAGTTATTTGTGGGTCTAGATATTTATAGATTGAGATTATTCACATTTCCACTTTGGTATAGCAATTTTTATATTTAGAGATATGCCCACATATAATGTGATGTACAATTCTAGATAGTGAATTGCAAAATTTAGAGGAAATAGGTACTTTTGAAAAATGTCTAATTCTGCTACAGTGATAGATTGGCTATTTTAGCTTATGTTTTTTGATTCAATGTACAGTTCACTATGGTCTATTGTTTAGTGAAAAATATACCGAGTTCTGTTATATATGCTCAGACAGTAATGTAATGGGTACTGAAAGGGTGTATATATTGTATATGTAGTGATATACAAAATTCAACAACCTACACATATCTTCAAATGTGATATACAAATTTCTAAATGGATATCAGTGTATTAATTAATTGTGAAAAAAATATATATTTTAGATGTGTATGGATATTTACAGCTGTGATGTACAGATTTGTAGATAGGTATGTACATTGATCATATACAGAGTTCCGGTTGGGTATAGATATTTACTGGTGTTGTTATACAGAGTTCTGATTGGGTATAGATATTTACTGGTGTTATACAGAGTTTCGGTTGGGTATAGATATTTACTGGTGTTGTTATACAGAGTTCTAGTTGGGTATAGATATTTACTGGTGTTGATATACAGAGTCCTAGTTGGGTAGAGATATTTACTGGTGTTGATATACAGAGTTCTGATTGGGTATAGATGTTTACTGGTGTTGTTATACAGAGTTCCGGTTGGGTATAGATATTTACTGGTGTTGATATACAGAGTTCTGATTGGGTATAGATATTTACTGGTGTTATACAGAGTTACGGTTGGGTATAGATATTTACTGGTGTTGTTATACAGAGTTCCGGTTGGGTATAGATGTTTACTGGTGTTGATATACAGAGTTCAGGTTGGGTATAAATATTTACTGGTGTTGTTATACAGAGATCTCATTGGGTATAGATATTTACTGGTGTTATACAAAGTTCCGATTGGGTATAGATATTTACTGGTGTTGTTATACAGAGTTCCGGTTGGGTATAGATATTTACTGGTGTTGAAATACAGAGTTCAGGTTGGGTATAAATATTTACTGGTGTTGTTATACAGAGATCTGATTGGGTATAGATAATTACTGGTGTTGATATACAGAGTTCTGGTTGAGTATAGATATTTACTGGTGTTGATATACAGAGTTCCGATTGGGTATAGATATTTACTGGTGTTGATATACAGAGTTCTGATTGGGTATAGATATTTACTGGTGTTATACAGAGTTCCGGTTGGGTATAGATATTTACTGGTGTTGTTATACAGAGTTCCGGTTGGGTATAGATATTTACTGGTGTTGATATACAGAGTTCTGATTGGGTATAGATATTTACTGGTGTTATACAGAGTTCTGATTGGGTATAGATATTTACTGGTGTTATACAGAGTTCTGATTGGGTATGATATTTACTGGTGTTGATATACAGAGTTCCGGTTGGGTATAGATATTTACTGGTGTTGTTATACAGAGTTCCGGTTGGGTATAGATATTTACTGGTGTTGATATACAGAGTTCCGGTTGGGTATAGATATTTACTGGTGTTGATATACAGAGTTCTGATTGGGTATAGATATTTACTGGTGTTATACAGAGTTCTGATTGGGTATTGATATTTACTGGTGTTGATATACAGAGTTCCGGTTGGGTATAGATATTAACTGGTGTTGTTATACAGAGTTCAGTATAGATATTTACTGGTGTTGTTATACAGAGATCTGGTTGAGTATAGATATTTACTGGTGTTATACAGAGTTCTGATTGGGTATTGATATTTACTGGTGTTGTTATACAGAGTTCAGGTTGGGTATAAATATTTACTGGTGTTGTTATACAGAGATCTGATTGGGTATAGATAATTACTGGTGTTGATATACAGAGTTCTGGTTGAGTATAGATATTTACTGGTGTTGATATACAGAGTTCCGATTGGGTATAGATATTTACTGGTGTTATACAGAGTTCCGGTTGGGTATAGATATTTACTGGTGTTGTTATACAGAGTTCCGGTTGGGTATAGATATTTACTGGTGTTGATATACAGAGTTCTGATTGGGTATAGATATTTACTGGTGTTATACAGAGTTCTGATTGGGTATAGATATTTACTGGTGTTATACAGAGTTTCGGTTGGGTATAGATATTTACTGGTGTTGTTATACAGAGTTCTAGTTGGGTATAGATATTTACTGGTGTTGATATACAGAGTCCTAGTTGGGTAGAGATATTTACTGGTGTTGATATACAGAGTTCTGATTGGGTATAGATGTTTACTGGTGTTGTTATACAGAGTTCCGGTTGGGTATAGATATTTACTGGTGTTGATATACAGAGTTCTGATTGGGTATAGATATTTACTGGTGTTATACAGAGTTCCGGTTGGGTATAGATATTTACTGGTGTTGTTATACAGAGTTCCGGTTGGGTATAGATATTTACTGGTGTTGATATACAGAGTTCTGATTGGGTATAGATATTTACTGGTGTTATACAGAGTTCTGATTGGGTATAGATATTTACTGGTGTTATACAGAGTTCTGATTGGGTATTGATATTTACTGGTGTTGATATACAGAGTTCCGGTTGGGTATAGATATTTACTGGTGTTGATATACAGAGTTCTGATTGGGTATAGATATTTACTGGTGTTGATATACAGAGTTCCGGTTGGGTATAGATATTTACTGGTGTTGTTATACAGAGATCTGGTTGAGTATAGATATTTACTGGTGTTGATATACAGAGTTCAGGTTGGGTATAAATATTTACTGGTGTTATACAGAGTTCTGATTGGGTATAGATATTTACTGGTGTTGATATACAGAGTTCCGGTTGGGTATTGATATTTACTGGTGTTGTTATACAGAGTTCCGGTTGGGTATAGATATTCACTGGTGTTATACAGAGTTCAGGTTGGGTATAAATATTTACTGGTGTTATACAGAGTTCCGGTTGGGTATAGATATTTACTGGTGTTATACAGAGTTCCGGTTGGGTATAGATATTTACTGGTGTTGTTATACAGAGTTCAGGTTGGGTATAGATATTTACTGGTGTTATACAGAGTTCTGGTTGGGTATAGATATTTACTGGTGTTGTTATACAGAGTTCAGGTTGGGTATAGATATTTACTGGTGTTGTTATACAGAGATCTGGTTGAGTATAGATATTTACTGGTGTTGATATACAGAGTTCTGATTGGGTATTGATATTTACGGGTGTTATACAGAGTTCTAGTCGGGTATAGATATTTACGGGTGTTGTTATACAGAGTTCTAGTTGGGTATAGATATTTATAGTGATATGCAGACAGACCATTAACAACCTATCTCGCACAGTCCTGGGCACAGAGATCTGTAGCATGTCAGATAATGATTTGCTCACATTACAGCTGATAAGCGTGATATGTAATTACACAGCTGTACTGGGTTTATAAACATGCCCTTCTGCTTGATTGTGATTTATTTCTACATTCAGCAGCTGTAAATCGATAATTTTGCCCTCTTTACAGCAGCAATTCATCAAAGCAAATGGGAGATAAGGATCTGTGTGAAAATCGGCTAGCCCCCTAGAGATTCCCAAACATGACCTAGAATGGCATCTTCATGCCAGCATCCACTGTGCCACACAGAGACCTGGAATGTCCCAGCATTATGAAATATTTGAATGTTTTTACCGATTTATTCATCGGTTACATTTCTGCAAATCCCAAATTACTAGCGTTATTAAACCCTAAACGTATTTAAGACAAGAAAGCAACACAAATACCTTTTTGTAAATGCCTGAGAGGTAGAAAAGTGTAATGAGACACAATTAGTGCCTGTGGTTAGGTATAAAAAGGTGAAAGAAGAAAAGATAATGAAGGCTTGCTCTTGCGGGATATACTCATACTAGAAGTTAAAGTGTGCCAATCTGAAATCATTTTCTTGCACTAGGCTCAAGAATGACATTATTTCCGGCACTATCTGTACTGTAAGTTTGCTCCCAGAAGCACAACTAGAAACAGTACCAAATCTATTGTTTCACCCTAGAGCAGAAACTAACGAGATATTCATATATCATACAATACCTGGTTGGGGGGCGACATCTTTATCATACATGTTGGTATAAAGAGTACATCTTTGGCTAACAGCCATTCACATTTTCAAAAGAGAACATAGGAATATCAGGTATGAGTGACTCATAGAAGCTTGGGTTTCAGTAAGCATTAGGCTAAATGGATTCACAATGCTGATTAATTATTACAATCTGTATGTGTCCAGCGTGTATGTGGGATTTTAGAGTAACAATACGTGTGAAGGCGTGTGGGTATAAGAGTACCAGGGACTATGGGGGTATGTGGAATTACAGAGTAACAGTGAGTATGGGATATAAGAGAGTCAAAGTATCATTAAGTGTGAGGGTGACCATCAGTGACTAAGAGGATGTGGGGGATTCAGAGAATACGGCGAGTATGACAGAGTGTGAGTATCACATTATCGGTGAGTGGAGGGATAGTAGAACTATGTGAGTATGTAGGGTACCAGAGTAACAGTAAGTATGGGGGATGTTGGGTATCCATAGATCAGTGGCTACAAGGGTGTGTGCAGCAACGTAACCATGAGTGTGACTGTGGTAGGGGTATTTCAGAAAATGGGAATGAAAATGTGCTAGTATCATAGTAACGGTGATGATGGTGTGTGGGTACAATTAAAGAATAAAAGCATTGGGCAGTGTGAATAACAAAGTATGAGTATAGTGAGTTATGGTGTGTATGAAAGTATATGTATGTGGTTGCAAAATAATCAGAGAAATATTATGTATCACAGTATAAGTAGCATGAGAAAGGGTACTGACATAGTGTGAGTATCATTATTATGATTATTATTGAGCACAGTAGAGGTGTATAAAAGATTATAAGAGGATGACTAGAGGTGTACAAGTATCAAATTAGGCATTAGTATATAAATCTGAGCAGTGTTGTATAGGCATAAGAGTACATCTTGGTTGCGGAGTGTAACTAATGCAGTGGGAATACCAGAGCATGCAGAGAGATAGATTGCCAGTATCAATGTGTGTACCAGAATTCTGTTTAAATTATGAGCCCTGCATACAGGAGGAGGAAACTATAATGAATATTTACAAATCAGTTAAGTATTAACAGTTAGATAACTTACTGTACATCCTACACCTGCTGTGTCTGGTTAAATAGGTTACCTTGTGTTTCAATTAATAAAAGTTGGGCAAGGAAGACACAGAATTCAGGTGTATTGGCCGCACTGTGTGAAGTTATCGTAGACTAATGCTCTACATGAAAGGTCAGGTGTTGGTAATAATGGAAAATACATGCTTGTTTAAAGGGCCTCCCCAGCACAATAACAGGTTTGCAAATGAGAAGCGTGACATGGGGAGGCTGGGGTCAGATACAAAGTTCCCTAAATTCCTGGTGAAATATTTATACACAATACCCTGTGTTCTAAAGCTTGTGATGTAGGAACTCATGCTTTACCGACAGTGGAAGGGAATTAAACGTGGGAAGAGAGATTAATGATGACCTGGGATGAAAGAGGAACTTGAAGATAGCAGAATTGTAAAATAGGAGACAAAAATGCTGGAGTATTTCCCTGACGCGCCATGTTTCACAATCAACAAGTCCAAGTTACTTAAATGTGAAAAAAAAAAATTTCACTGCACTTAAAAGACGAACTATATACAGGGGTTAGCTACTGTCTCTGCGTCAAACATGTATTTATATTGATAATGTGTGTTATAACAGTCATTGTGTGTCAGTAATTGTATATGTCTGTCAGTAAGCGCGTGTGTGATTCTGCATTAGTGTGCATTTATTTATGTAAGTCAGTTATCGTGCCACTTTGTTTGTGTGTGTCTCGGTCAGTTTTAGCTACCTAGAGCAGTCATCCAGTATGTATCCGTGTTAGTCTGTGTGTGCATGTCAGTGTACCTATTTCACTATGTGTGTGTACCAGTTTCAGTGCATGCACCTGTGTCACCAAATGTGTGCACTTGTATGAACTTGTGTCAGTTTGTCTTCAGTTATCAAATTTTGGGACATGGTACCATGTTTCCCCCTTCCAGTAATTTATGCCATCATGTCTGCCAATCATCCATTGGTTTATATCATTATAACCCTAGGCCCAGCACCCAGAGCTTAAGTCACATCTAGCTTAGATAGAAATAGAAATGGACGGAAGTGCACTACTGGTTCTTAGAATTGGTCAGGCTTAACGCTACAGAATAGAAACTGGTAAGAATGGTCAGTCTCTCTAGCCACAGTCAACGACAACAGAAGATAACAATAATGTAGGGTCAAGGATTACTGAAAGTAGAATAATCAGAAACAAATCACAGTTGAAACACCAGGAATCAATACACTAAGTACTTACACTCTGGGATCACCACACAGGAAACCATGATAGGGCAAAGCTTAACAGGCTGGGATAGCAAGTCATTCCTGAGATGGCAAATGGTGTGAGAATGATGACCCAGGAATGACGCAGAGCGGTATGTGTCTGAAATGACGTAAGGAGTCCTGGCATTAAAAATTGACGAGAAATTAGGGCGACTAGCGTGAATATTTTTTGTGATAGCGTGGGTGTCTGCATAAATTTGTAAATGTGTCTGTGTGATAATCGTGAGTCTAAATCTATGTGTGTATTAAATATGTGAGTCTAAATCTGTCTGAATCTCTCAGTGTGTGTGAATATGTGATGGTGTGTGAATCTGTGTGTGTTAAACTGTGTTAGTATTAATCTGTGAGTTTAAATCTGCCTGAATGTGTAAGTGTGTGTTAACCTGTGAGTGGGAATCTGTCAGTGTAAGCTAAACTGTGTCAGTTAATGTGTCTTTGTGTGATTTTTTGAGCATGAATCAGTCTGTGTGTGGATCGGAGTCAGAAACTGTGTATGTCTGAATCTGTGAGTCTGAATCTGTTAGTGTGTGTGTGAATCTGTGTGTTTGTGAATCTGTGAATGGGAAAGGACACTAAATTGAGATGCCCACTTTGGAGGAGGCATGCGTGTCATTGATGATAAAGTGAATTTAAAATGTAAGGCCAAAGTAGACATACTGGAAAAATAACAGACTTGAAGGTTGTTCACAGTTTGGCCACTTGAGATTAAATTAGAATTCTTGACAGGAATAACTCTGTAAAAAGAGAATTGTGATGAACATACAAGGTAATATCAAAATGGCGACCAAGAAAGCAAAGCTGAAAATATTCTCCAATTCAACTCTTTTTTCCAAATCAGCTACCTTGACCTAGATCAAAGGTAGGCAACCTTCAGCACTCCAGATGTTGTGGACTACATCCCCTCTAATGCTTTGCCAACATTATGACTGCAAAGGTATTATGGGAGATATAGTCCACAACACCTTAAGGGCCAAAGGTTGCCTACCTCTGGTCTATATATTGCAATTTAATTAACAATTCACCTCAGTTCACTTTCCAGTAAACTGCCTGCTCATATACATAAAATATTATGGTATTTAAATGCATGGGGTCCTAGACACATTTATTATTATTAATACTCGGCTGGGACCTGCTATCTGGCAGGGGCTTGGAAAAGGTTGAGGGGCTTTGCACATAAAAGATTTGCCCCATGACCTCGCTACTCCTCTGCAGTCTGTGTATACTTCTCTAGGAGTGAGAGGATTCATTATTTCCAAAACTTTTAGCAACACTTGCAACACATTTCCTGTTGTGTAGTGCTTCTTGCTGCCTCTCATAGGAGGAGATTCCACAGCTCTACTACACTTACTGTAGGATTCTGACCAAGGCTTAGGCGAACACAGCCTGCTGATCCTGCTCACTGTGGCGGGGGAATCGGATCATCCCTGCTACTCCGTTTCACGCAGTGTCACTAATTAGATTCTCTTCTATCTGCATTCACACCATAACACCAGAGAATGACTATCTCTATCCTACAAGCATGAGCACTTCACACAGATTAGTACCTCCAAATGCAAGAAAAGAGGGCGTGCAGGAACAGAGCCTGAAGAAATAAATGTTTCCAATTTCATTCTGTAAATAATTATCTGAGAAAATGATGTATCAGAACAGGCCATTTCTGCAGGCCGGTGTTATGTTTTCTCTTTGTGGGCTAAAAAACAAGACCCCCCTCCGACACCCTCCCCCTAAAAAAAAAAATATACAAATAAACAAATAAATTATATGTGACTAAGTTGCATGAGGTTTGGACAATTGTGGATATCTGTATGAACATGTGTGTTAGAGTCTCAATTTAAATCATGGGAACATTTTATATTTATCAATTTAGTTACAGTGTTATTTTCTATATAGAAGATAATTCAACAGTTTAGAGACTTTTAGTGAGTTAAACTCTTCTACATATTTAGATAATATT